ACGATTATAAAGAAAATGATGACCCATACAGAGATCATGATCTCTGTATGGGTCATTTGGTTGAATTAGAAGAAGAAATGGGACAAACTTAGTTACTGCCCCTAAATATATTGCAATTAGTCCAAAACAAAACACAGAACCAAGACTGTAACTAAAAGTAACCTTTGTATGATCCTTTTTATTGCATCTAATTGATTTAGATGTAGTGACTTTTATGTCCTTAGAAGTCAGTTAAGTCCCCAGTGTTTTGTTTTTTACAGCTTTACGTTCATACAATGTCACTAAAACAAGATGACACAAATATGAAGCTAAACTACCCCAACTGTCTGCAACAAGATTACATTTTCTGAGTGTTCTCCTCTTAAACAACAGAAACATCCATCCGAACCCCCCCCCCCCTTTTTCTGAGGGCAACGATGGCAAGCTGCCACATTCCTCACCGCTAGGGAAACAACGAATCACATCACAGGAAGTCAGAGAGGAAGAAGTTGGCTAATGCTTTCCTGTTAAACACTCCAATACTGACACACACACACACATGCTTAAACAGACATTCACGGACGGTGAAACACACACTCGCAGCCAGTCCAAACCATAATTACAGGCTGCAGATGTTCAGCAGTTAAAGTTTCACTGCTGCAGAAAGTCAGAGACCCAAGAGGACTCGCTCTGAGACCCGTTCCAGAACTAGGACCCTACGACCCCAAGCATGGCGGGGATAAAGTCGAGGACCAGCCACTTAACAAGACTTAGATCAGAACCTGAACAAAACTTTACACTGATGCAACAGGAATGAGCCCAAATAAAAACCAATTGAGACCTTAAGAAGTTCTTAAATCAGAAATTAAGACCAGAACCAACATTACAACCCATATAATCGCTATTTGAGTAATCACTTAAGTGTTTTGAAGCTTAACATTTCAGGAGAGAGCAGAAAGCGACAGCAGAGGTTGATCCTTCAGATCGTATTAGTGCAAATGACTTTGAATTATGGTTTTGGACTCTTATTTCCCTCTCTGGGAGTTTGGAGGGGATTTTTCTCTCGTCTTTTGCTTTCTGAGTTGTTCTGTTGCTCGGTCCCCATTTCCCTCCAGCCGTCACCATGGTGACGCTCAGCTATGCAGAGCCTGAATACAGTCAGTAGCTCAGAGGAAAGAGGCCTTTGTTACCCACAACACCCATCACCCCCCCTTTACACTTTCTGTTCATCTCAGCTCCATTTTCTACAAACTACAAACTAACTGAGGCATGGTCACATCTCCGACAGGATGTGGATCCCAGTAAGTTCCACTAAGATTACATGACAATGGTGATCAAGAAATATACATTCATGAGGTAAATTAGCATATCATAATTCACTTCTTAGGTAACATAAGGTCAAGTTTGTTCTTTTCAAATTCAGAAAACAGTGAAAAGCAGCAGCCAGAATCATTGATTGATGATCATTGATCCTCCGGGACTGTGAGCAGCTCTGTAAAAGTAGAAGTTTGAAGAATTCAAGTGTGTTGACACAATGCCAGGGAGGAAAGACATCAGCAGCTGCTGTCGCCCATCAATCTGAAGGGGTTTAAGGCCTTTTAAAACTATCTTGAGTCCATCATTCTGTAAAGAGAAAGCTTATAGCAGCTAAAAGGTAATCCAATACTCTTCATTCTTCACTAATGCTTTCAGATTGAGTCAGTAAAACAGTCTCATTTTGGCTCAAACACAAAGTGAAACACAGTTTCTTCTGTGAACTTCACCCCTCTCAGCTTGTTTCCAGCTCCTGACCATCAGGAATGAGATCAGATCTGTGATCCATCAGACCATTTGACTGGTAGGAGGCTTGTAAAGCTGAAATATCATCAGCTTTCCTCACAAAGCTGCAGAAGCAAAAAGCTGATCCAACATTCAGTTTGCCAACAATTTTCCCCCGAAAGCTTTAGAGAGTCAGACTTTGGGGCCAACCTCTGTGCTCACATTAGGATTTTGATCAGGAGTTATTTGAACTTAGAAGGTGGAGTTTCAGCTGGCAAAATGAAGCAAAACGCTTCCCAGATCACTGGATTTGTGACTGAGCATCACAGGATCCTCACCTGTCCTCAGAATCCAACATGGCTGTCCTGCACCTGCAGAGATAAACTCTATCAGCATGTTTGTCAGTCTGTAGCTCAGAGAATCAGCTAGAAACACTGAACAAGTATGGTTTGTTTGTTTGGACTGAAAGAGAAAGCCTCTTAACATACCACATACTTTCCTTTGTCTGTATAAACCTTTTTCTTGGAAGCTGTCACATCATCCACATTCTACCCTAATTTATGATGCCTTTCCAGTCGTAAAATATTCCCCATGTGATTCTTATTTGTGCAAACAGAGGTGACTTACACCATCGTTATCCAGCTCCAGAGAGGTTTGGAACAATGGGCAGGAAGTGAGGTCGCGGCACACGCGTCCCACATCTCTCCAACAAAGATCAAACCCATCAGCCCTCAGAGGTGCGGTGCTCTTAGGATTTCAGTTGGCCCTGTAGTTATCAGTCTTTCCAGGAAGTTCAACCTCTGAGTTTCTCACCTGAAAGAGCATGAAAAACGCTTATAAGTCCTCTGAACGGCCTCCTGACGCCAACATTTTAGCGAAAAACTTCACTAGTACCTTCATTTTTCAGATACAATCTGGAATCAAACAGGAAATTTATGTCACGAGTACATTATTTAACTCATTGACTGCCAGCCATTTTCAGAACAGAGAGTCGCTCACTGCCAGAGTTTTTTGAGAATTTTGACAGATTTTTCAAGAGCCACAGAATAGTTTGTGCTTTGACTATGTAAACACCAAACACACCAAAAGAAAGAGGAGACTCTCTTCTATCATCAGGAAAAAAAATTTTGTTTCTACCTTATTCCGTTCTTCTTCGACGTGCGTCTCACCGGCGCCATTTCTCTCATAGCGAACCATTGCGTTTGTTTTTATTTGCTTACAATCTATGCTAATCTCCCATCAAAAGTGGCACAGCTACCTAGAGGGTAAATTTGTTAGTCCATACTCTGTCTAGAAGCCGATATTTACGGAAAAACTTTCGCCGATCGTCCCCCAAGTCACTCGCAATTGAAAAACATAAAAGACGTCTATAGACGTCTTTGGCAGCGAACGGTCGGATTTGAAAAGACGTCTATAGACGTCTTTGGCAGCGAATGAGTTAAAAAAAGTATGGCAGGAGTACCTCTGTGTCTCCTGTGCTGCTTTATGGACTAATATATATGGCTAATAACTGCACCCCAAGGCACACATTTGTACTCTTAGAGGCCCTGAAAGTTTAAATTATGTTCAAGTAGAAGATGGACAAACCAGAGACATGTCTTTGGACCCTCAAATGTGTACTTTTTTGTGATATTTTTTGGTTTAATTATAAACACAAGCTTGAATTTTATTATTCAAATAATTGTGTAAACTTAAAATATACCCAATATCTGGTTAAAAAATAACATCAACTTTATATCAGCAGTTCAGATGACAAAAACTAGGAAAATGGTTAGATCTGATGATTCGTGTTGCCATTTTGATGGAATATAAACAAAAAAACTCTCCTGTTTTGACTCCCTTTATGTAGTCAAACACGGTTTCCCCTGAAAAAGACGCTTATTTTCAGGGGTGCCTGCGGTGGGGGCCTGGGCCCCGCAGGAAACCAGGCGTTGTGCGCCCCTGCGGAAGATCAACTGATCAGATCATCGATCGGCTCCGGGCCGACACTGACTCCGTCTTAAAGCGTCCTGTCTTGTTGTTTAACAGCTTAAATGTATCCATTCTGATTTTTAAAAAAAAGCATTGATGAATGATGTGCACAAAAAGAGGAGGAGTGCAGCATCTTCATCCCACCATCCTCCTCCTCCTCCTCCTCCTCACCGGGTTTGTGTCTCCTCTCCTCCCCTCCGCTGTTGGACTGTTTTCCTCCGGACTCTGACAGAAGGTAGATTAAAAAAAACAAAAAAACAACGTTTGTCTTTGTGGAAAATTGTCCTGACGTCCGAGAATCGACACAAAGCTTCAACTGAAACGTGTTCAAACTTTCATCCGGTGGAGAAAAAAAACTAAATCCAGAGTCGTTTCAGCCGCTTTACGCCTCCGGAGCGGAGCAAACCGAGCCCAATCCAGGTCAGTGCTGCGGAAAATCCTCTTTTTAGAATAAAAAATGAAACTTTAAAGGACTTTAAGGACTAAGTAACCGTTGGATTTAACAGGACAGGAAGTATAAAACTTTTAGTCAACACTTTAAGGACATTTTCTGTCATAATTAAACAGTGTCGTGAGAGTCTTTGATGAAGTCTGGAAGCTCAAAATGAAACTTTAAGGGGCGCCTCAGTTCATTCAGAATATATATGGAGACCTTTTCCCTCTGAATGAGTAATATTGATGATGCTTTGCAGGTAAAAGGTTTGATGCGCTATTGAAGTTTTTTTTTAAGGGGAAAAAAATGGTTTCTGTACAGAAGCTTCAAAATGCCAGAATATCAATGTGTAGTTCCTGTTTATTTGTGTATTTTTGCAGATTAAAGTAAATTGAGCCTTTGTCTGACTTGCCTTTTATTGCATTGTATCAGATGGAGGCTGTTGGTTTTGCTGGCATCCTCAACATTCTTAAAGAGGATTTTAGGTTTAGATGTTTGCACACTGGGCAGTTTTGGAGTGTTTTTTCCTCTGTAAAGGTGATTATGACCCGTTTAAAGTTTTATTAAAGCAGTTTTTGGAATCCTCTGCTGGTCTCTGAGAGAATTTACAGAATAAATCATCATCTTTGAGTTTAAAAGGTCTTTTAAGTCGAATGAAATGCATCTTTAAACATGAGAAGCAGTTGATAGTTTCTTAGTTTATCAGAAAGGGAGATCTGAAAGATTCTGAAAGCCTCAAAAGGCCATGTTTGTTCATTTGTGACTTTAAATGTTGGTTTGGTCTGAAGTCAGAGCAGTCATTCCAGACCTCCTCCCTCTGTCTGCAGGACCATGACCCCCTCCGGCAGCAGGACTCTCTCTGCTCCTCCTCAGGGTGACCACCCGACATGAAGGCCTGAAGTTTGAGGACGCAGCGCCCCCTGCTGGACTCCTGCTGCAGCTGCCGGCCATGGCTGAGCCCAGCTACTCCGACCTGATCGCCAAACACTACAACTACACCGGCAAGTTCCGGAAGACCCAGCAGGACTCGGGTCTGAAGGCCGACTCGGTGGTCTTCATCATCGTGTGCTGCTTCATCATCCTGGAGAACATCCTGGTCCTGACCACCATCTGGAGGACGAAGAAGTTCCACAAGCCCATGTACTACTTCATCGGGAACCTGGCGCTGTCCGACCTGCTGGCCGGCGTGGTCTACACCGCCAACATCCTGCTGTCGGGCGCCAACACCTACAAGCTGACCCCCACGCAGTGGTTCTTCCGGGAGGGCAGCATGTTCGTGGCGCTGGCGGCCTCCGTCTTCAGCCTGCTGGCCATCGCCATTGAGCGCCACCTCACCATGCTGAAGATGAAGCTGCACAACAACGGCAACACCTGCCGCGTCTTCCTGCTCATCAGCACCGTGTGGATGATCGCGGCGGTGCTGGGCGGCCTGCCGGTCATGGGCTGGAACTGCATCCACAGGATGGCGCAGTGCTCCACCGTGCTGCCGCTCTACCACAAGGCCTACATCCTGTTCTGCACCACCGTCTTCAGCATCATCCTGATGGCCATCGTGGTGCTCTACGCCCGCATCTACGCGCTGGTGCGCACCCGCAGCCGCAAGCTGGTCTTCCGCAAGGCGTCCAACGGCCGCGGCGGCGCCGGCGCCAACAGCAAGAGCTCGGAGAAGTCGCTGGCCCTGCTGAAGACCGTCATCATCGTCCTGAGCTGCTTCATCGCCTGCTGGGCGCCGCTCTTCATCCTCCTGCTGCTGGACGTGGCCTGCGAGACGCTCAGCTGCCCCATCCTCTACAAGGCCGAGTGGTTCCTGGCGCTGGCCGTGCTCAACTCCGCCATGAACCCGCTCATCTACACGCTGACCAGCAACGAGATGCGGCGGGCGTTCCTCAAGACGCTCATGTGCTGCACCGCCTGCCTCCGGCCCAAGGCCAAGCTGACCGGGCCCATCATGGGGGCGGAGTTCAGCCGCAGCAAGTCGGACAACTCCTCCCACCCCAACAAGGAGGAGGCGGAGTACTCGCCCAAAGAGACCACGGCGGTGTCCTCGGGGAACGTCACCTCGTCGTCCTAAACGGGGGGAGGCCGACCGGCTGTGGCGGGGGAAGACCGACCCCTCAGCCAATCGGGACGCACAGCACTCACGGACACGTTGGAACTGGTGAAACCAGAAGCAGTGCGTTAGAGGAGGTCCACGCTGTTTTGTTAGCTCACAACCGTCAGCGGGTTTACGTCAGCTAGCCTTCTGCACGGGGTTCAGAGTCAGAACGCTCAAGAGCAGGGCCCGGACAAACATTTCCCTGACCCGCCCCGGCGGCTGACCACTGGCGCCCGGCGGGGCATCCTGAAGGTTCCTGAGCTGAAGTGACCCCGCTAGAAGAGTTGGACTGTATACTCACCCTCTAAGATCAGCTAGAACATGTAGCGCTTAAACACACAGCTGTCCAATATTTAAGAAACGCAAATTAATTCATGGAAATGTGTTTGTTTTCTTTTCCACTCTCACGTACAGAAATGGACGTCTGAATTCATAGCTCAGCTGCTTTTTCTCTTTTTTCCTGAAATGAAATGTGGATTTTAACACCCAACAGGAATTTTTAGGTGTTGAAATTAAGAAATAATTTTACAACTTTTTCATCAAGAAATGAAACAATCCACAATAAAGCCAAAAAAGGGCATCAAATCTTTCAAAACTGATTAAGAAAAGGATTTAAAACTGGAGGAAATTTCCAAATTGAGACAAAATTAGTGTGTTATTCTACCAATAGAAGACTTAAGTGAAATCATTTTTCAAACATATCTTAATGAAAGTTTTAGTCTACAACTTTTTTCTTTTTGCAAAAAATTTAAAATCCAACTTTTTTTTGTGTCAAGTGAAAGTGAAGTCACAAATTTTAGCACTTTTCTACAATATTTCCATCACATTTGGACCTTTTTTCTACCGGCCGCATCTTTATTAATTTTAATAGTGTGGAAGACTCCCAGAGAAGTCCCAGCTCCCACAGTTCAGGTGTTTGGACATGTCCCAAAGGGAGGACCCAGGCCCAGCCAGGGTCCTGCCCCACCTCCCAGACCCAGACAAGCAGAAAACAGATGGATGGTCCTCATATGACCCTGTTCTCCTGCACCAACTAGCAGTACCAGTCCACCCTGAAAAAAAAACACTTTATATTTATAGTAATTTATGCTTTAATGGGGTGTGGCCCTGCGATGGACCGACAGACCATCCAGGCTGACCCCACCTCTCGCCCGTTGACTACTGGGATAGGCTCCACTCCCCCATGACCCCATTTGGGAATAAACGGTTCAGACAATGGATGGATGTTTGAATGGTGAAGCTGTCTGTGTCCAAAAAAATCACTTTTAAGTTTCTTGTCAAAGCCTAAAAAGCCAAGTCTTTTATTTGCAACTCCCACTCCAACTGCAGCTAATTTTCACTCAATAAATCTGTATTTAAAAATCTTTTTTTAAAATTTTTTAAAAATCTGGCACTTATTTTATGGTTTCTGTGACCGTCATCAGGTAAACGGCTGCTCCGACCAGCACGGTGGTCAGTCCTGGGGGCTGCTCCCTGTTGGACATACCTGAACATCCAAAGGTGGAACCAGAGGCATCCTAACCCCTCAGCGACTCTTATGACTCATTCAATTGGTACTTTTCCCCTGATACCTTCTCGGTGTGGCTCATTTGGATTTTTAAGGGTTTCTATTAGCTAGCAGCACTTTTTTGGGGTCTGGATTTGATTTGGATCTGGACTTGTAATGGAACACAGCAGAAACCAACAAGAGTCGAATAGGTACTAGTGGAAAAGAGCCACTAATTAACTACATAATTGTTTTTAAGTATATCAAGGCACAGACAGATGTTTCTCAGCCTCCCACAGCAATTCAGATTTGAAAGTGCAGCTTGTAACTTGCTGAATAAGTTTGCCATTAATTCATAGAAATAGCAATAAATTAAGATCAAGTTATTGTTTTTTGTATGGCCCGACATTTTTGGTTAGCTTGGTTAGAAAAAATGTGCAATCACCATAAATCTGACCTCTGGAAGGTAATTGATGTATAAACTGACAATGATGGGACGATCCCCTGAGGGATGGATGCCTGACTCAAATTTAGGAAAATAAACCTAGTTTACTACCCTTTAAATGTGACTGAAAGACAAGATTGCTATCAAAATAGCTAAACGTTTTCTCTCTTTAAAACAGCAGCTGAACTCTGAATCTGTGAGTATTTCTGATGCTTTTTGTAAAAAAGTTGTAGAATCTGTGGGTCAGATTGTGTTTTGTACCTGTGCGTTGCTGTCGTTGTTAGTAGTGAAAACGTAGTGGATTAATTTATATCGGAGAGCAGAACGGACAAGAATACATTTCTCTTTTTTTTTTGTGTCAATTGTTCTGTTTGGCCATACTTCAGCTATAGATGCCCATTCCTACCAAAACTTTGTAAATAGATAAAACCTAAACGTTTGGAGAGAATTGGATTCCAATTTCTTACAACTTCTGCTCATTATATGCCAGGAGCTGATTGATTAATCAATTAATTCCTTTTTTTGTACAGTTTTTGAACGGACCAGCCTGAAATCTGTTTGCCTGCACTGTTTAACTCCTGAATGTTTGTTTGTTAGCACTTAATAAAGACATAAATAGAAACACGCCGTTTGTGTCTGAACCAGTCATGTCCAAACATCTCCTGAAATACCACGGGAAAGGATATAAACATGATTACCTGAACAAAAAAAAAAAGAAAAGCTAAATAGAAGCAGTGTTTTTTTATATATAGGAAATTAACACATAACTAATAGTTTTGGTATAGATATGTGGGAAAAAGGGAATATTTTTCAAACAAAACGCAACAAAACCAGCTCACAATGTAAAAACTAGGCAGAAAGACAACGAAAAAGTTGAATCTAGGTCATAATTGCAAGAAAACATCCACTTTACTAGTCTTTGTTATCTTTATCAAATGGCATTATTATGCTAATTAGTCTCTTGGTTGCTGTTTTGTGTCTCTTAGTGGTCGTTTTTGTGTCTCTGATTGTTTTGTGTCTGTAGTTGTTTTGTGCCTCTTTGTGTAGTCTGAAGTGTCATCAGGCACTGTAAATCTGTATCCTGGTGCTGTCCGAGGTTTCCCACAGTAATCACACTCTGAAATTCCACCAGATTCCTTGAATACTTTAATGATATTCTGCTCTGTAAAGGGAGAAATATCCAAACCTCTTCCAATCTTTTCTTGAGGAACATTGTTCCTAAACACATTTATTTACAAACTGGATATCCTCAGAGACTCAGTGTGTCAGGGAAGCTGCTTTAGGATTTAAGAGGAGAAATATTAAAGATGGGCTCCAACTGTTTTCCACCGTATAGAAATGTTAATAAATGTAAGAATGGATATATTGTATACCCTCCAGCCATTGATGTCCCCCTTGGGGTGGAATCTATCCTGTTTCAGGGGGAAGCATCAGATTATAAAGCTGTCTGGGTCTCAGCTTGTGGGTCTCCCCTGACTGTCGCTGCTAATGAGGTTGAATGTTCGACCCAGCTGCTGATCTCTGACCCCGTGTGTTCGCACCTACCCGGGGACAGAGACATAGGTCAAATTCCTCCTCCGACTGGAGGTCCAGTTCAGAGGAATCCCAGTGAAAACAGAAAAGGAAACATCATTACAAACAGACAGGGACGCTCGTAGGAAGGGCAGACTTTGTCCTTCAGCTGATGGGACGAGGCTTCACAAACAAACAGCCGGTCAGTAACCTGACTCTCAGAGGACCTCCTGAGTAACCAGAACTGATCTGAGGTTGGATTTGTCCCTCAAAATTTCCCCCGATGGATCTGATTCTGCTCCTCACGCTGAGCCTCTGCTGTGAGTTTCTGCTTTTTTATGTTCTAGGAAGGACTAATAAATCATCAAGAGAACAATTCCCCTTTTAGCTGCTCTTCACTGAGCTGAACAGCATTTTTAATGCAAGATTATTGTTCGTGATTACATAAAAAATGGAAAGGGATAATGAGTTATCAAATATAATATAAAGAAAACTCTAATAAAAAAAAAAGAACTGTATATGCAGTTTCATCTATGTCCACTAGAGGGCATAATTTCCTCCATCAACATGTCACAGACTGAAGTTTCTCAGCAGGTTATAAATGATCCAGATCCAAATCAATTATCATTGCAGCTCAAAACTGAATAAACTGGGATTTTATTCACTTTGTAATCAATTCTCAATACCAATTCAAACCGTGTTTGGTAAGATTACCCTGGGGTTGTATTTTACTTGTCCTTCCTTTCCCTAAATAGTCCTTGTTAGCTGTTCAGGGTGTTGTCCAGCATGATGCTGGTGTCTCTGTTTTAGGACAAAAAACCTGCCTTGACTGTTTGTCTCTGTTGGATTGACAGGCCACGCAGCAGCCGGCAGGTACGTGTGGTCAGGTGAGTCCAGCTGGTCACAATATGCTGCAGTCATTTGACAAAATTCGATACAATTTCTTACAATTTATTGTATTTCAAATATATTTGAAATACAAAAAAGAACAAATGCGCGTGTGTATATATATATTTTAAAAAACTACTCATTCCTAAACATTACACATTACTTTTATTTTATTGTCATTGCTCTGTAAGCGTACAAATGATTAACAAATATGACCAAAATTCATATCTAGTTTATAGCATAAAAAAGTGTCAAAACAGATATTGTACAGATAACAGATAACTTTGACATGCTGGGTCTCTGGTTTCTGTTCTGCAGCAAACAGGGTGATTTTTATATCAGCAAAGTGATATACATACATATCTGCACATTTCTTCTCTTTTTTAGACAAACCAAAAATTATACTGGATAGCCATGAGATCGAAGACGGAGAGTCACTGAATGTGAGCTGCACGCTCCCGGTCGACTACCTCGGAGGGAGCTGCCGCCTCTTCAGAGGCCAAAACAAGGTGGCCTTCAGGTCCATGACAGCCACTAGCTATGTGTGTGACTTCTGCCTGTCGTCAGGGGAGCTGCTGGGGACACACGAGGTGGGCAGCACCGTCTCCATCTACTGCGATTACACGCTCCAGGAGTTTGTCTCAAAGTCCAGCGACAGGTCCAGCGTGACCGTCTGGGGTGAGAAAAAACAGTCTACAGGCTACATGATGGAATATTTGTCTCACTGGTTGCTATGGCGATTCCCTCCTTTTTCAGGGGTACAGTGAACAGTGCATTTGCTGGGGTCTTTTTGAGGTCTGCAAAACAGGATTTTTTTTCACAATGTCTGTTCAAATTTAGCAAATATTCACTAGGGGTTTAAGCTGTTAGTGTTAGCTGTGGCCAAATTAAACAGTAAATGAGGAAGTAAACACAAGTAATGATTTATCAGCTACTTTGAGTGGAGCCTACTTAAGGACGCAAGAGTTAATTGAAAATCAGAACGGCTCCTTAAATGAGGAACTCGCCCCCTAGAGCACAAAGAAGGAACATTTACAGAATATGTCACCTTCAAGAGCACAGTCCTAACTGTTTAGTTAGGTCTCTGGGAGGCACATAGTAATAATCTGTCTGAAATTTAAATTGAGGTCATATTTGTATGACCCAATTTTCATGAACCCATCAAAGGTTTTCTCTGCAGGTACTGGGCCCAGTCCCACCCTCTCAATCAGCCGGTGCATCATATCACGCCGCGAGAGCATCGAGGTCACCTGCACACCTCCCGTGGACTTTGTAGACAAGTGTCACTTCTATAAAAACGGGTATTCCTTTAAGTGGGGCCCCTGCAGGAGAAACCTCACCGGGGAGGAGATCGCCATCTGGGAGAGGCCTTCCCCGCTGCTCTCTTTCAACTTGACGTGCACGTACGACCCCGACATGCACCGCTCTATCCGCTCCAGGCACAGCAACCAGCGGCAGCTTTCGGTAGCTGGTAAGGTTGCAAAGAGCATCTGTTTACAATTTCATGGCTCACAAATGCACTCTGGTCAGAAGTCAGAATTTGGTTAATTGACCACATATTTTTTACATACGAGCAACTTAGTGGTGAGGAACACGCGACATACACAGAGAGTTCAAATACAATATGTCATATGTTTCTGTGGCAAAAGAAATATGCAGTCAGTATAGATAGAAATGTCAAATATAAATATATGTATGACATTATTGACTAAATAAAATGAACAAAAAAAAGAATTTAAAAATAGGGACAAACAGCAAGCGATTAGAATTGCAGATGTAAAAATGTTCGTGCACTAATTGAACATTAATTGCAATGAGGTGTAGGTTGTTGTTGTTTTTTTAGAATTTTGTTGATTAACTACATACCTAATGTTCATCATCTATGAGTTATAAGAGTCTCCTAGAAAAAGATCAAGTAATTTTTTTATCTTTTAACCTGTGACTTTTGACCTGTGATGGACTATAGCCTCTTATTTTTAGTAAGGTCTACGGTAGGTCTTTGAGCCTATCCCACTGTCATTTAGTGGGCAGCAGGTAGACCCTAGACAGGTCAGTCCCGCACAACGCCACATGGAGACTAAACAGAAAATGCACACTAACTCGGAACTAACTTGGAAAAATATGCGTGAGCACCCAGAATTTCCTGCCACAGTCATAATTTTCAAAAATAAAAACGAGATGCTGTATATTCACTGTTGGTGGGTTTGATTCTTGCAGATCAGAGTAAAGCTGCCCCCTCTGCTGACTGTGAGGTGTCAGGGAATCATCACTAGATTGGAGCGTTTGGAAATGACTGCTGGACTGATTGTTGGCGCCAATGGAGGAAACATCACCATCATGATGACCAACAGCAGCCTGGGGCTCACAGCTGCAACCAGAAACAGCATGAAATGAGTCTGGGGATAGTATTTTTAACACAAATACCCTAAATAATGCTCTCTGTATTGATGACACATCTCTGTTTATAACAATAAAAAAAAAAAATATTTTCTGCTATCTCAGATGTTGGAGACAATTGTCTTACACTTCCTATGGAGTACTGTTATCATTAGATCATTCCACAGGGAGGTCAACTAATCACTGAGACCAGATTTCAGCCTGGGTCAGAAGTGGACTGAAAATGAGTGGCAACAGGTCTGACGGATGGAAGAATCCTGAGAATCCCAGAGCCGGAGCTCCTCAATATTGAAGCAGTGTGGATCATCTGACAGAGAACGGAACAAAAGGCAGTCCACATCCAAAGAAAAGCTTTGGGATGTCCTTCAAGAAGCCTGGAGAACTATTCCTGAAGACTCCTTAAAGAAAGGACCCAGAGCTGGTTGGAGAGGGTTCAGGCTGTGGTGGAGAATGAAGGAGCTCATAGCAGAGATTCACTTTGAGCATTTTTTCTTTATTTAACTCTCCAGTTTAGCACTTATTTAATCATTATGAATGCTTAGTAATATAACACATAACATTAATACAATTTTTAACCACAGTCCTTGTATTTGGACTTTTACTGAAGTATTCTACTTTGCCAAACTCCCTAAGTGCCGTCATGACGCCTCATCTGACAGGTGAATGCTGGGAAATGTAGTTCAACAACCCGCCTAACGGGTTAGCTCCTTCCAAGAGTTTGAACTACGTTTCCCATGACGCCACGCGCATTTTCTTCCTCCTCTCCTTCCTTCCTGCAGCCTCGGCCCTTCTCCCCCGAAAAAGGAAGATGAGAAGCCGCAGCAGCGGTCCCGCACCGAACCGAGCCGGACCTCCAGCGGAATGCCGGGAGCGCGGCTGCTGACGGACCGGAGGCCGAGCCCAGCTTCCGTTCACCGGCCCTAGCCGCGGAGCTCCGCAGCCTGGAGGAGCGGCGGGCGGAGCCGCAGCCCGCCGGGCCGCGCCGAGCCGAGCCGAGCAGACCGGGGGAAACGAACCCGGCCGAACCGAGCCGCCGCCATCCACTCTCCCGCCGGTGATGCACGGTGACCGGCAGGCCTGAAGCCGCGACGGGAACCTGAACGCAGCACCCCCACCAGCCCCGTTAGCCCTCCCTCAGGTGAGTCCGGCTGCACACCTGGAGCCTCACCGGTACCCTGACGCAAACTGGGTTTTTTTTCTCTACAGCTGGTTCCGATCTGATCATTTGAATCACTGTCAAACTGAAATCTGTGTCCTGTCAGGCTGAATCTGACCTGATTCCCTGCACCAGTTTCAACCTAATCAGAATATATGGAATAGAAAACAGCGAGATTCTCCAGGAGAATCTCATCATCACCAGGTCTTAAAGTAGGTGAAATCCATCCCCAAAGGAGCAACAACACAAAATGTCAGGAAATGTATTTATAAATGGAACAAAATTAAACAAAACAGGAGAAGAGGGTGGGTTTGCTCAGCTATCTGCTCTGTAGAATTCAGCTCCTGACCGTCAGGAATGAGATCAGATCTGTGATCCACCTGAACATCTGATTGGGAGGAGGCTTGAAAAGCTGAAATATCATCAACACGTTCCAAGAACATAGCACCACTGCTCAGGTTTTCAAACCTGCATCTGAACATAGCTTGATTGTGATATGTCAAATCAAATCTGGAAGCTTTCTACTTGTACCTGACGAGCCTTCAGTCCAGGGATTAACATTAAACGGCCTTAAATCCAATGACAGTCACAGAATTTGATCTTAAACCTGTTCAGCCCCATTTAAGAGTATTTTTGGGGTTCCAGGTTAAACTAAACTGAGCATTTCTCTTTTACTCTGTACGAGCCAAAGACACACCATGACTGCAACTGGCCGTGGTCCAATCAGATCTCTTTAATGTGATGTAACGGAGCAGGAAATGCTGATTTTACACGGCAAACTGCTCTCAGAGCTTTCTGGGGGGGAGAAGGGGGGTTCTTCCCTAAATACGCTTTGATTTGGCTTCTGTCAGCTTTGGAAGCAGGGCAGCAAAGGTAAGGCAGGATTTGTGAGGATGTTTGTGGAACATAAAGCAGGACTTTGGTCTTCTTTTACTGCTAGTTAAGTGAATCTTTGCCGTAGCTCCATGAAACCTGTTGCTCTTTGATGGTTCAGAGTTTAAACTGTGTTTGGAGGTTGTAGAAATAATTTTCTGAGCATTAAGCTGAGAGTTGGACCTCTCTTTGGACGCTAAAGATGTTCGTTTTTATGGATTTTTCTACGTGTAATGGCACTTTTGGTCTTCAAGCATGTGACAAACCAAACACCTTCCTCTTATTTCACAGTTTGCGTCACCGGCTGCTCGGTTCTGAGCCGGTTGTGGTTCTGCTGCAGCATGGAGCGCTCCGGCAGCATCCAGCTGGATATCCCAGACTTCAGTAACTCGGTCCTGTCTCACCTGAACCAGCTGCGCGTTCAGGGCCGCCTCTGCGACATCGTGGTCAACGTTCAGGGCCAGAGCTTCCGCGCCCACAAGGTGGTCCTCGCCGCCAGCTCGCCGTACTTCCGCGACCACATGTCTCTGAGCCAGATGAGCACGGTGTCGCTGACGGTCATCCGGAACCCGTCTGTGTTTGAGCAGCTGCTGACCTTCTGCTACACCGGCCGCCTCTGCCTGCAGCTCGCCGACATCATCAGCTACCTGACGGCGGCCAGCTTCCTGCAGATGCAGCACATCATCGACCGCTGCACGCAGATCCTGGAGGGCATCCACCTGAAGATCAGCCTGGCCGACCTGGACGAGGAGTCCAGGGAGGACGAGGTAAGGGGCCCCAGGAGCAGCAGGACCCTGGAGGCCGTGGTGCGGGGGGCGGGTCACCACGGCGGCCTGCGGCTGCTCGGCCCGCGAGGAGCCGGCGAGGCGTGCGAGGCGGTCAGCCCGGCGGAGGAGCCGCTCAGCCCGCCGCCCGCCGTGGAGCCCGGGGCCGCCAGCAGCCGAAGCAAAGAGCCCATCCTCCGGATAAACCGGGCCGGCCAGTGGTACGTGGAGACCAGCAGCGAGCCGGAGAGGAGCGGCAGCGCCGAGGAGGGCGGGGCCGCGGACGGAGTGCGGGTCAAAACCGAGAGGATGGAGGAGTGGATCGGAGCCGGGGAGCACCAGGAGGAGGGGGGCCCGGTGGAGGAGGGGACCACCGTGATGATCGACACGTCTGGACGCAGCACGCTGGTGACGGCGCCGCTGGGGGCTCGCGGCGTGCAGCCGTCCTCCAGCTTCAGTGAGACCGACAGGTGAGTCCCCCCGACGGCGCCTTCCCTCCGCCGCAGGGAGACGTCTGACCATGTGTGTCTGTGCCTCAGGTTCAGCCCGACCGGCAGCGTGGTCGTCCTCACGGAGCGGCAGAGGGCGAAGAGCGAGTCTCCGAGCAGGGCGGACGAACTGCGGCAGCCCAGCTCACAGGTACGAACACGGCAGGTGAGGCCGGTTCGTCCCCCCGACCGGATCTAGTGCTGCCAGTTAAGGAATGCAGCTATTAGCTGTCCAAAAAGTCACAAACTGACATCATCACTTTAGTTGTATAATTCTGATTAGTCATTTCATGGAGCTCTAGAGGGGAGAAATATCATGAAGGGAACAGCAAAAGTAAAAGTAAACATTTTCTAGATATGTTTAGAACTAAATTAACTGTATTATGTTGTTTTTTTTTTAAATATCACAATTGAAACAAATGCTTTCAACCAAGGCATGGTCTGATTCCTGCCCTTTTCTCAATTTTTGACTGCACAGTCAACCCACGTGATGGGGCAACTATGAACTTGTAAAACCAACAATATCTGTTCATTTTTTGTCAACATTCAACAGTTATCAACAGAGAAAAGTTTGTGTTCAATGTACAATTCCTATTGGAAAAATGACCTTTGATCCAATATTGCAGCTCTCAAGATGGCAGCTATGGCGAGTAGTTTACTCAGGCTCCTAGGATTAAAAATACTCAAGACGACTCAGGTCCATAACAACATTTAGAATTGGTTGTTCAACTCTCAAAAGATCCATTGCAGATGTTTGATCAGTATCCTACACAATAAAAAAGGACAATCTAGACACACCACTCCCATTAAAATGTGACTCTAGGAGTTTCTTACCAAACGTTACTTTAGCTGGGAGTGACGATGGAATAAAAAGTGATTAAAATTCTGCTCTCAGCTCAAACAATGGTTTATTTTCCCCTGCAGGGTGAAGAGCATACAGCGTTTGATATGGGTGGATATGAGGAATACCTAAGGGAGCAGGTCGGAGACCGCTGGTTCCGCTACAACCCTCGGCTCACCTGCATCTACTGCTGCAAGTCCTTCAACCAGAAAGGCAGCTTGGACCGCCACATGCGTCTGCACATGGGTATCACGCCGTTCGTGTGCCGCATCTGTGGGAAGAAGTACACCCGCAAAGACCAGCTGGAGTACCACATCCGCAAGCACACCGGCAACAAGCCCTTCCACTGCCATGTCTGCGGGAAGAGCTTCCCCTTCCAGGCCATCCTCAACCAACACTTCCGCAAAAACCACCCAGGTTGTGCCCCCCAAGAGGCCCACAGCGCCTCCCCCGAGACCACCACCGCCTCCGTCACCTCCAGGGGAGGCCCCAGCGACGAGGCCTCCCCCAGCCAAGAGGAGCCCGAGGGCGGAGGGGGTGGGAGCAGCGGCGGGGGAGGCCAGTACGGAGAGGGTCCCCAAGCCTCCGTCTCCACCACCGGGCCCGACTGACCTCACAGTGAGGTGGAGGCTAGGGTTGAGGTCAGGGTGGAAGGTGACAGAACCAAAGGGCCAGTCTGATCCTGTTGCACCTGAAGCTAACAGGAAGCTGAACCCCCGGAGGTCAACGGACACCCCAGAGTCCGAACCGAGATTTTTCCGCTTTAAACCGCATCTACCTTCACTAACCAAACAGAACAGATTAAGCTACAATGAAGAAACTCCACACACTCCAACAACCTCATACACCACACCGTTCAGTGGTTCTCGTTTGCCTCCGTTTAGTTTATGTTTCAGATTTCTACTTTTGTATCTTCAGGTTCACAAAGCAGCATCACAACCGTCTGTCTATTGGAGACTTTGCCAAACTACTCAGTGCCAGTTTACCGGTTCAAATCCTTTGTGTTTGCCTTGAGACAATCTGGAGCCGTCAGGTTAAAGGTAATAACAATAAAAATCCTTGCGCGAAAGTGCCACACAGGTCAAGGTAGAAGATTCAGAGAGAAAATTCAGCTGCAAAAGTTGAATTCCAGTGTGATCGGATGTCAATTTGATGGATAAAGTCTGATTTCACAATTTCACACTACGTACCTCATCGTATAGGACATTTTTGCTGTCCTCAGATTTACATGGGACATTTTTCTCAGTTTATAAAAGGGCAAGATGTTGACTTCAAATATCTCGATCTGTCAGAATTTAGGAACGTGTGACCTCATTAACGGCATAGATTTTAAAACTTTGTTTATAATTTAGTTTACAAACCCATCTTCAGTATCTCAGAGGTCTGCTGCAACCAGGCAGTACTCCAAGTATTTCACTAACAGTCATGTCAAATTGAGAAACCAACAAATTTAAGATCCAAACCAATCCAAATCTGTTTTCCATTCTGTGGTAACAGAGTTGGCCGTCAATTATCAGTTATCATTTGTGATTTATCAAATTCACTTTTGACACTTTTCTTACTTTTAATTATGTGTATTTCTCTTAATAATGAGAAAAAAGTTGTATAGTAAAAAACTAAGGATGGCTCTTTAATAGCTAGTTGTAATTTATTTGGCTACATGATTTTGACTTTCCTTAAAACAGGTCCAAACAGAAAGAAATGTAGAAATTAATAGCAAACAAGGAATTCTGGCTTTAGGTCTCATAAAGTGGCCATTCTTTCTTGAAAAACTCTTAAAAATTGTTCATGTCAAATGTTTAATATGAGCTAAATATGTATTAGAAAATGTTTAAACTTTTAAAAATGGGACATTTGAAGACATCATCTTGATAGGAAGTCCAATCACACTGGGTTAGTTAAATTGGCTGTAAACTGTGGAAGTCTTTCAGATGAACTGTAGAGTACTGGCAGTGTTACGTTCTTAGGATCTTATAGACTAGAGTGGATCAGGATGTTGACTGAACAAATTCATGGCAGGATAACAGGACAGTGTATAACCTCAGATAAGCTACAAAGCTCAATTACCTCTCATCACTACGCAATACAGCTGCTGCACAGCACACCACCACCGGGGGGGCCCAGCCCCACTCACACAGAGATCACCGTCAGTTTTCTCTTATATTTTTATAAACAAGCATGACTATTATTTTCTTTTGTTAGTTTTTCTCGTGAGGTTTCTTGCTCTAACAACGTGTGATGGAGAGCAAAAGCTTAAAGCGGAGGAGGCATCGTCTAGACCCGATCAAATCCATCAGGCATTAAATCTACTGCACTCAACCCAAAACGTCTTCTTACAGTTTAGCTAATGCACTAATAAGTTCACTGCAGTACAGGAGATACACCATGCTGTTAACACCATAAGCCAATTATTGAGAAGTTTCCCCTGTTTCCTACTTTGCTTTTCTGGAATTTGAGTAATGAATTTTGGATTTTGGAAGTTTGATAACAATTACGGCAGGTTGGCAGGCTCTTGGCCGCTGGCTGTTATGATTAATGTACCCATGTTCACAAAGATCAGTGCTTGAAAGCAAAGATTATCACTGCTAATGTAGCTAACATTTTTCACTACTGCTGATGAACTGATAGTGGCAGTTTACCATCAGGTAATGATTATTATACTTATTAAAACTGACCATTTTCTTACACACCAATTGATATTGACTGATAAATAAAGAGAATCTGAATGTTAAAACTCAGAAAATTAAGATAAAATGCTAACATATATTTTTATCTCACAAATTATATGCTAATTATTCGTGGCTTTTCCTCACTGGCTAACTAACTTGACAGTTATAACATTTTTGGATAATGTTTTTTTTATTTTTTTATAGTTAACATTTAGTTAAATTAGCCCTGTGACTAAACTTTTCATAACTGACTAGTTGGCTGATCTTGTTTGTCAACGCATGACTTTTGAGCTAACAACTAACGAGCCATCTTAGCTAACCATCTTACTGTTCGTTGGTTTACAGATTTTGGTGAGTAATGGTGTAATTTGCAGCTTTATTCTCTTTTTGCAACCGACTTACTCTCTGCAAGAGACTTTACAGTTGATTTTTAAAGGGTAGCTTGAGAAAACATAATGGGCAGAGCTGACATATTTGAAGCGATTCTTAATATCTAAAATAATGTCAATAGACTAAATTCCTCTATACATCGTGTGCCTAAACCTTGCCTGTTTTTCAGCAATCAGTGTTTATGATATATCTGTAAAACAACTGGGAATATAAAACCAAAACTTTACTTGAACAATGACGGTAGTGAATATTAGAATTCGTGTGCTTTTAAAAACAGTCTCACTAGCTAATTACCTGCTTCACAAATATGCTAGTATTAAAAAGTACATTGTAGTTTAGGCGTAATATTAGCAGATACGTTTACATATATTTCAAGCTTTCAAAAGGAAAAATAAGTGCTAAACATTGAAAACAAGAGTGGTTCTGAACAGAAACATAACGAGAATATTTGCTTTAACTGAGAGTGCAGTAGAGATAGTGCTTCGTTGATGGCATTTTGATTTGGGGGCACGTTGATCAGAAAGCAACGAGAGCAGGAGCCAGACTCTGAGAGACCACATGGATGTAGTAGCCAGGCCAAGGAGCTGGACTCAAAAAGAAGAGTTTGAGGTTCACCTGCTTGATGATGGAAGCAGGCCAAACCACCTGGCAACCAAAGGACAAATGGTGTGGCCACATGGGCCCAGAGAAACGCCAAATTACTTCAGCACTTAACAGCAAGCGAGACATTGGGTCGAAAAACATTTTATAAAAGCTGAACAATGACAAATCTACACATATTATCAGACATAGATGTATTTAAACTACTAAGATGTTTGTTTTTAATGGATAATGTAATAGATGTGTGGGGGATTGGCTGGTAGCACACGGATCGGCTGTTACTGTTTTCTACAGGACTGTGAATTAGATTTTCAGTGGACGGTAAACGTTCTTATGCAAGTGAAGCCAGCGGCTCTTTTCACACTCCAAGTGAATAGATTTTTTTCTTCTCGGATCCCACTGCAAGAGCCACCGCTACACTCACACTTCAGGCTTAATCAGGATCTATCAGGTATACAGACTTTCTTCTTGTATTTAGTCAAGTGGGTGTTTTCTTTTCCTTACGTAGCAGAACGTTAACGGCTAAACCTCAGTGCAGTTTGCACACTGCAGAAACTAAACTCACCTGTAAATAAACACACAAACTGCAGGTTAAAAACATCCCTCTGGATAACAAAGAGGACAAAGAAAACAAAAACCAGGGCTGGGCAGTATAGAACGAAATTTATCTTAAAGACCATATAACCTCTTGAGGTGTGCTGCAGCCACAAGGAGTACAGGTTTTAGTTTGTTTAGAAAGTTATGGTCTTAACATTACACTTTCGATTTTCATTTTGATCTCCAGAATGTTGTGTATTACAGTACTGATCAAATACCTTACCAGTTTAACCTTATGTTAGATATATGAAACGTGACTTTGTCACAGGTCTATATCAAACATACAATTTTGACTTAATCTTAAAAACAACCACCTTCTTGAAAGACATGCTGTATTTTGTAATCTTTCAGGTTAAAAAAGCTGACAGTGCAGCATAAATAATCCATAATCCAATTCTTAATCAGTACCATTAGTTACAACATGCTCAAACTGTAGAATCCCAATCACTCAATTTGAGCTGGTAATTTTTACACCGCACAATTAGAATTATTTGCTTTTGCTAAGACTCAAAGTTGAAACAGTAAAACAAAGCTAGAAGACAACTTTTGAAATTAAGTCATCTTTTAGAAATCTAGTTATTTACATCTAATTTACTATAATTTGTTTACTTAAGAAGCTGAAGGGAATTATGAAGTCATGCTTACAACTAGAGTTAAACTAAAGCTAATATGGTTCATTTTCAAAATTAATGCTTTTTTATCACAATTTTGGAAGTGTCGCTTTGGAAACCTCCCAGTTTGTGTCATTACACAAATTAGTTGTGTTGTTTGTGTACCAGAATACCTCGGTTACAGAGAGGATGGTTATTAGAGCAATTTAACTTGAGTTTCATTAGCTTCCCTCCAGCTAACGTGCTAGCAAATGTTTTGTTGGCTCTTTACCTCCCTTCAAGCTAATGGAGCTATAAAATTTAGACTGTTATTCTTTGGTTTATTTGAATGTTTGAAAAATAATCCTGTTAATTCTGGCTTAGTCATTTTTAAATCTAAATATCTCAAGTAAAATTATGAACAGAAAAGTTGGATATGTTGCCTTTCTCTCAACTTACAAACCTGAACAGTTTTTCCTGGTGAAAAACAACATGAACAAACAGATTAAATGAATAAAAAAAAAAAGATGTTGAGTTTCACAGATGCCCAGATCTGCCTTTTAATTTTTTTAAATTTATGTTACTATTATACATTTTTATTGTCAGTTTCATTCTCTTTTCTGCACTGAGGTGTCATAGAGAAATGAGAACTTAACTGTTAGCAACACATCATTTCAAGCCAGTTACAATCAGAGAGCAGCTGCTCCGAGCAGGTCCATTCTGGTCCTGCTCAAGGGATCTACCAGGGAGAAAAGCCGGATTAGAGTCACGTCCATCATTAACTTGATAACAACTAACACTTTGAAGACACAAGCTGAAAATGTAGAAGAAACAAGTCTTTATTAGAGTCCCACAAATTGTTCAAAGTTTCATCAATTCTCAAATTTCCACTTGTAAGCAGCATCTCCAAACTTGTCATTTGGATTGGCAGTTCTTCATTTAAAAATTTGGTAAATCTGAACCAGAGCTTAAGAAAAAAGTCATTGAAGGCAAAACCATATCAACCAGATAAAAAAGGCTAAAGAAAGAATAAACTATAATGATATGGTGCATCAGTAGACATTTTTTAATCCTTTTAAAATCTTCCAAACATCCCCAAGACAGTAATAATGTTTCTTAGTTTATAATTAAACAATTGGTGAGCTTCAGATTGTTTTTAAAAAATTTTTTTTTATTGATGATATGACTGCTTACAAGTTTAAAACACGGTAATGTTATCTAATACATGTATTGCCATTGTGAATATTTATTTGCTATTTTGGGGAGTAGTATATAAACTGTTTGTAACTGTACTTCAGGTTGTCCCACAAAAGGGGGAACTTCAGTACTGCCCCAACTTAAATGATCAAAATGTCCTGAACAAAGTCACCTTATAAGGATCAGTAACTCAAAATCCGACCTTTCTCTCCCAGTTCCCCAATGACTAATTTCATTTAACCAATGCCTTCATTTAATTTTCAAACTGTGAAAGACAGCCAAACCTCACCACCACCACCATGACCATCATAATTTTCCTCTCCAGTGTCTTTGGGTCAGTCAAAACTCTAGTTTTTCTCCAAATAACTGCTTTACTACAAAATGCCAAACTTTGTTTTAATGTTTCTATGATGGCAGTCTAAATCCACTTGCTTTGTATTTTTATTTTTACTTCATAATGTGTGAAATTAATGTTAAGGACAAGAAATATCGAGTAACGTTGATTGCAACATGCCTAATTATAAATCAAATTATTTAGACATATTTGCTTAATGAGATTACTTTTGACTGTTGATTTCTCAAAGTATACCCTAATATATCAAAACAGAAAATGTGTCAGTCAGAGAAAAGGGTGGAGTTTAGCTAAAGACCTTTTAATACTGTACATTTTTTAAAGGAGGTACCTAATAAGCTCTGTATTAGAAGAACCTGAAAGGTTTCATGTGAAGATCTTTTATGTTGCATGTCTTTGTTGCTAAATGATGTTGGTGGAGGGTTGCGGAGGATGTGAGGCCAAAGGTTGATTAGTTTAGAAAAATGTGAAGAAGCTTCTTTCACTATGACCACTAGATCACTCACAGGTCGCATCTCCTTCAAAGGAAATAAAGCACTTTAAGTGTCAACTAGGAGTGGCTGGCTTTCTTCTTAAGCATTTGTAAGACAAAGTTCAGTCTTACAAACAAACCCCAATTAGAACAAGGCATTGTACTCATTTAGCAGTAACACGTACTGTATCTGGATGCTTTTATTATGATCACATTTTAAACTCGACTCAGAATCAGACAAAAATGTCATTAGCTTCCAGCAATGTAACACAGTTAGTGTTAGCCTTTTAATCTTTGAGTTTCTTCATGTGTTTAAGAGCATATGCAGAAACAATATCTGCAACATTGCTGGTGATGCCCAATCATTTGAGGTGTCCAGTGTGCTGCCCCTGGTCCTGGGCACAACAAATAACCGCGCATTACACCAGTGTTCCCGGCTGTTGTGCAGCTGTCTCTGTTGCTAACCTTTGAACCAAAAGAAATATAACCAATCTGGTTGCTGCTTTCGATTTGAGACACTTCTATTCTTTGGTAGAATACATGACCGCCTTAGCATTGAAAAACCTGCCCTTGATCCAGTATGGTTTCTCTCAAGATGGCAGCCATGTTCAGGGCACATCCTTAAAAATAGCCCCCCTGACCCACTACCTGTTGGGGGATTTAGATATGTAATTTCCCCTTGATGTGTCATCTGAAATTAAATCCATACACAACCAGACACACGTAGAAGGTGAAAAGGTAAAGCAAAACTACAAGCCAACACTTGATTGTGTTGAGCAGTTTTTATTGGTTGCAGGGGTCGGCCACACGGCCGACAAACAGAAGTGTGTTGATGGTGGATTCTCTGATGATCAGAAGGAAAGGGCGATCCGCCTGAAAAACTTCCCGATTAAAGTTAATGGAGCGTCCGACTGCCACCACAGCAGTAGCTGCCGCCGCCTCGCTGCCCTCCTCATTCACCTGCAAACCAAAAGTAATGTTTTATCCTGCTGTCAGACACACACACCAGCTAAATTATTAAAAACTCAACTCTTCATCATCCACATGCAAATCTTTAGAATGATATACTACATCTTGGCCAATAAGACTTTATATTTATATTCATATCTTTTTTCCATTAATATGCAATCTAAACGTATTTTAAACTGAAACCAAAGTATGCGTTATGGCAGGACTAAAGTTTTTCAGCGAATCAGGAATCGATACAAAGGAAACTTTGGCCATGGAAACCTCCATTTACATTTAGCTTGTTCTTGGCGATACCAGTTTTCTGCACGCTTTAGGTTGTGCGTTCTCTTCCAACGCAACAACGTTCTGCAGCTCAGACACAGAGTGGGTCACTTTTCTAGAGCTTAGAGAGATTAGTAGAACTGACCACTGATCAACTGATGTAATTCCTTAAAAATCAAAGTTTAAAACAAAGAAAAAAATGTTCCCCTTTTTATTTCAGATCAACTTTATCTGACTCACCTCCAGGAATGCTTTGTGGTAGGCGTCAGATATAAAGAGCCCATCAGATCCATCTTCCATTATCCCTGAAAGAAGGAATGATAGGAAATAGAATGATTAAACACCATCCAGAACAATTGGAAACATGTTCAATCAATATATGTGCATGGAAATCATAGATCAAAGTTATCTCAGCAAATTTATCCTTTGAAATAAAGTCAAACAGAGGAAAGAGAACAAAAACTGAGAGTTTAGAGGCGCCAAAGCACGAAAAAATCATGGAACAATAAAACAATGTCCAATGAGATAAAATGTCAAGTTACACACTCCTACACATATCTTAAACAAAACATTTGCTCTTGCTCTGGAGGCAAGAATAAGAACAATATTCTTTACAGATCTGACGTTCGGCTCGGCCAGACTCCTAGAAGAACTAATGAAATTTAAAAAAATGGAAAAATATTTTGGTAAATGACTTTCAAATTAGTTTTTTCAAACTAACTTTTCATCAAAAACCTCTTTAAATGTTTTTGTTTTAACAAACCTAATAGGTGCTAGAACAACTTTATAATTTACAATGTATTTTTATGATTGATCGAATTGTATGAAAAAAGTTGACATAAGACATATCTAAAAAAGTCTGAATGAGCACAAAAAATTGAATCATTAATTTTTTAATTGAATGTAATTAAATTTTAAGTGATTATAAGTACGTTTTATGACTCTTTCCAGATCTGATCTGAGAGTAAGCGGATAACCATCGATCCCACCAGATTCTGCTCCTACTCAGACATGAAAGTACCAAAGTCCAGCCTGGTTTTTGGGCCTGAGTCAGAGTAAGAGCTGGAAGCACCTGGCAGGCTGGCCTTCTCAGCGCTGAACAGGTCGCTCAGCCCCATCTCCTGCAGCTTCTGCTTCAGATTGAAGCTTTCCTCCACCCTGAAGCGCGGCACAAACGTGGCCACGGTTGTTTCCTTCATCTGGTCCAGCCACCCGTTCAGCTTCTTCAGGTCCAGATCCGCCTCCACCTCCACACAGAAATACAGACTTTATTAAAACCAAAACAGAGAAAAAATAACTCATTTTCAGATCAAATCCAGATATCTTTTTTAAATTCCAAGAAAAAAACAATTTTAGCTCAGAGATTCAGACAAAGATGAAAAACAAATAAATAAAACAGGTTTAAAAAGGATGTTGAAAATGAAGAATACTGACTTGTATTTTGATTATGAAAATGGTTAAACTTCTCTGTCGGTAAAAAAAAAACGGCAGAAAATAGTGGAAGACTTACCACACTGAGCGGTGTGCCTTGGCTCGGCAGGACAATCACCATGGTGATGTCCTCTCCTTTGTACAGCATCTCCAGCAGCTGCACGTTGTCGTCGGGGAAATACTTGTACCTGAACTTGGTCTCCTGGTACATCATGTCGACCGTGCAGGTTCTACTCTCGCTGACGAAGAAGTCGCTGCTGAACACGAGGTCTTTGTCAAATTTGTTCCTCCACTGACCCTGAAAGGCAGAAGTTCTGCTCTCAGGATGTTATCATCAAAGATATGAGCAATGATGAAATGAAATGCAGCATTCAAAGGCAAAACAATACACAGCCTGAACCCTCTCCAACCAGCTCTGGGTCCTTTCTTTAAGGAGTCTTCAGGAATAGTTCTCCAGGCTTCTTGAAGGACATCCCAAAGCTCTTCTTTGGATGTGTGCTGCCTTTTGTTCCGTTCTCTGTCAGATGATTCACACTGCTTCACAAAGCTAGCTCTTGGGGAATCAGCTTGTTTCTGTTTTCTGCTATTTTCTGTCTGTCAAATTGTTATTTTTTGGCATTTTTCACACATCAACTAAAGAAATGGGAACAAATGTTGCGTCTTTGTGACAGGCTGCTGGTAACAAAGAGCACAAAGATCCAATTTATACTACCTCTTTGCTAAGTTGTCTGTTCTGTGTCAATACAACACTGGCTCATCCCTTGAGTTAGGGGCCTTTTTCTACTTGAATGATTCATAGCTCAGAGTTAAGTGGCTTAACAAAGAAAAAAAACATTCCTCTCTAATGCTCTTCTACAACAGCTGAACTCAAATAGTAGAAAAAGCATAAAATGCCCAAAGAAAAGCTCTGAAAGAGAGGGTTAAAGGAAGGTTTTCAGACACCTTGAAGTAGATGGTGTTGACCAGGACCAAGACTGTGTTGCTATCCACTGCCCCTGAAGGCAGCGTGTCTTGAATCCGGTTTTCTGTCTTGTTGGAAATCCAGTTGTTGATAGTAACTCTGGCTTTTTCTGGATTATCCTGAAGTAGAGAGGAAGATTATATGTTGGATGATTGTTTTTTTTAACATAAGCGTGTGTATATATATATATATAAAAATTAGCTCTATGATTAGCTCTATCATCTGCATAGAGGGTCATTTTATCTGAGAAAGATGAGAAGGTCTTTAAATAATGAAGAAAAAAGTCACAAAGAGGATTATTTCAATACAATAAAAAACAGTAACATTTTGATTTTGGATGTTACCTTGAAGTTTAACGGCAGTAGTTTGGCTCCATACACAGTCTCACTGATGTTCTGGTATGTCTCGTTGTACGAAAGAGATTTATCTCCAAACAGCCGGTTGGCAGAGATCAGCTCTGTGGTTTCATCCTTCTTTCTGTACAGGCGGCAGTTTAGTTTGGCGAAGAAGAAATGGACCTGATCAGACGTCTTCTCTTTGATGGTGTCAAACTCAAACACCTGGAGACACGAATGCGAAACAGGGCTGAAGCACAGCGGAGAGGGATGAGAGGCCCACTCACGGTATGCGTTCAGATATTCAACCCACTTCTTTAACAGAGTAATCGAGTCTTAAATGTGACGCTATAATCAAATGTTGAAGTTGATAGTGAGTTGAGGCTGCCGGACCTTCATGATCTGCTCCAGCGTCTGGTTGCAGGCGCCCAGTTTGGTCATGGCGAAAGCGGTGGAGATGCTGATTGGCGACATGAAGATGTTTTTCTCCGGGGTCCTCCCATTGGCCAGCTGTTTGTACAGAGAAAGGGCGAAGCGGCTGTTGGCCTTCGACAGCTCCCAGACTCGGGGGTTGGTGGACTCTGGGATCTGTTCCGGTTCTTGGGGGGCCTCGGTGGCCTCCGGGTCTGGGCTCCGGTGGATGCAGCGGGGCTCCAGAGACAGGTCTCTGGGCTTAGCGGCACAGATATCCGGACGTTGGGCAAAAGAAAGCAAAGGCAGGGAGGCCAGAAACAACAGCCAATCAGAAGCCCTCATCCTGCACGGAAGACCAATAGTAAGTATTATGGTAGCTGCAGTTTTATTTATACTAATTCAATTCAAATACATGTTTTAACATGAATTGTAGTCTTTTTCAAACCAGATTTTAGTTTGATCATGGAAAACAAATAGTGAAGTCACATCAGGGGACTGAGAACAGACAAGAGCCTCTACATGAGTAGAAAAAATACCAATTTGAAACCCTTAATAAAATTAATCCATACTAAAGGATGTTAAATATTGAATGATGTTTAAATCATTTTAAGTTTAATCAATCCGATTTCAGGACGTCACTGTAACTTTAAGCACATTTGATAGATTAGCCTGATTTTTTTACCTGGCATTTTATTCCTTAAAAATGACTATGTTTCAAAGTAACGTGTGCTCTAACAGTAAGAAGGGAAAACCGGAATAAAATGAAGTAGTTTACCTGAGCAGGTAGAGCGGTGTGTGTTCGGGCAGGCAGATGTGTGCAGTTTGAGCTGAATTCAGGTCAGTGTCCTGCAGAGCACTGAAACACCAGCATCAACCTTTGAGACTTTGATCTGTTGTTCGTCAACAACTCCGGGTTCGATACCGGGAAATATCTGAAAAGAAACCAGAGGCCGCCGTGAACTGGACTAACTCGCCTCCGCATGGATCAATAAGTGGAAAAGGGGGTAAAAAATCTAAACGCCACATTTGGCCCCCAACTTGACCACAAAAGGAGGAAAAATGACCTCAAGGATGATCATTCACACCTTGAAGTAAAATGTAATTATTTAAAAGTCTATCCATTTATCATGATCTTTACAACTTTAACTGAATATCAAAGTTTTTTTTAACAGTTCATTTTTAAAGGGAAAAAAATTTGTCTTTTTCACAATGTCTAAGAAATTCTTTAATGGTTTTTGACAAACGTTCTGAACAAATGTCACATTTTTAAAAACAATGACGGTGTTTTATATTAGATTTTATTCAAGTGTTAAAATATTTGGTGATGTATTTTTTTATACAATTATTATGTATGACAACATTTTTTAAATAATTTCTTTTTTTTTTTTTAAGATTTCAGAGCTAAATCCCCCCCCCCCACATTCAAAATGTTTAATTCATAAAAAGGTCCAATAAAAGCTTCATATCCGGTTAGTTTTAAATAAAATTTTATTATGAATTCATAAGTTAAAAAATAAAAAACTCTACAGGATATTTGACACAAGAATAACAGTAAAAAAACACAGAGAATGGCAGCAGGCAGCAGGGTGATCAGTCCGGGTGTCTCGTGCGGTGCTGCTCCAGGTGTGGCTGGAGATCCTCCTGAATCGTGTTCTCTGTTAAACCGGGACCCGGGTCGGACCCGGCGGGGAGTTCTGGGCGGGGTTGTAGTGTCAGAAGAGTTTGGGCAGTTGCCTCAGGCGGCTGAGGTCCAGGATGTTTCCCACCGAGCCCTCAGGCAGGCGGCTGCCCGCCCGGTTCAAAGATGGCTGCCTTCTGGCCCGGTTCTCCTTGTCTTCGCTGTCGGCTAAAAGCTGCATTTTGGGCCGCAGGTCTCTGATCAGCTGACTTTGTGGGAGGGGCTTCGTGTTCTGCGCTTCAGTGAGCGGCTGACGAGCTGCCGGCGTCTCTTCCTCTTCTTCCTCACCATCCTCCTCTTCGATCAGCCCGTACCTCCTCATGTACTTCCTGGTGGCCAGAGACATGTTGCTAGGTGACAGGAGGGAATTGCCAGATGAGGGGGCGGGGATTTTCTGGGGGGCGTGGCCTCCAAGTGACAGCCTGCAGAGCTGCGAGTCGCTCAGGTAGCGCAGGGCGATGGCATTGGCCTCCAGGCTGAGGTCCACGCTGCCCCCGGGGAACAGCGTGCTGGCCGTTGGCTCGGAAACGCTCAGTCTGGAGATGACCGCTGCCGGGCTGATGCTCGCCAGCGTGCTGATAGACAGAGAGAAGAGTTACTGCCTGTCACATGACGAGCGGCGACGCAGCTAGCAGAGCTGAAAGCGGCGCCCTGTACCTGGCGCTTTCCACGGCTTTGGCCCGGTTCCTGTCTGAATCGGTCAGGACTTCCTGGTCCACGTCCACTCCGAGCTGCTGCAGCCGCCTCAGGGTGGCTGTGACCACCGGGTCCCCCTCCGTCTTCTGCTGGCAGGTCTGGGGGCGGTCAGAGACGGACAGGCTCTGCCTCCTGGACTCCTCCTCGGCCTCCTGTTGGGCGTCAGCCTCCTGGAGGCGACTGCTGAGTTGAGTCTGGGAGACAGATTAGCCAACGAGAGGTTAGAAATGAGAGAGGAAGTTTCATTTATGCAGAACACAGAGGGATCCACCTAGGGCCACAGCATAAATACCACGTCAGAGGAGGACAAAGCATCCACCTATCAATCCTTTTATTCACCTATCCATCCATCTATTGAACCATCCATTTAGCAGCTATTTATCCATCGATCCACGCTTTAATCCCTCTCTCCCTCCCTCTTTCCCTCCCTCCTTCCCTCCCTCCCTGCTGCCAGTCTCGGACAGAAACAGAAGTGTTACCATCAGGTTCTGATAGAAGCTCTGCTGCTCCTCTTCAGGTTCGTACATGCTGACACTTTCTCCCAGAACTGGACTCTGCAGGCGGTCGAGGCTGAGCAGAACACAAAGGATCCACAACTTCAGAACCATTCAACCCTTTTCCTTTGTTTCACACCTCCGTACAGGTGATAAGTTGACAGTACTTTGGAAAAGCGAAGCAGAAACCAACATGAGACGATTTAGGCGCTGCGTGTCACCTGTGTTCAGCAGGAGGGGAGCAGGGTGCCGCCTGAGCTGCTTCCTCGTCATTTTGAGGAGCATTGACGGGTTTGGTGGCAGATGGCTCGTGTGATGAGGTGGAGGGGCTGGAGGAGGCTGAAGGGGGAGGTTTGGGTGAGGAGGGAGGAGGGGCTGGTTCCTCCTGCTGGGGACTGCTGCCCCAGAATAAGCTGGCGCCTGCAGACAGCGGAGGGCGTGATGGAGGATCATACGTGGGGGGGGGGGCGACGTTTGAGGAGGTACAGGTAAGTGCGGCATGTCTCACCTGTTCCCACGGCAACGCTGGCTGTGCTTGTGGGCGTCTGAGAGGAAGCCGGCTGGGTGGAAGACTGCAGCTTCCCCTGAGCCTCCAGCAGCATCTGGACCTTCACCAAAACCGTTCAGACGTAAATAACTACAAACTTTTTTTTTTATTGAATTTCAAATAAACATTTTAATTAATTGGCAAAAAGTTCTCACTTCAACAATTTAATTTGAAAATCATTTAATTTGATCATTTACAATAAATTAAATCAACTAGAAATAAAGTGATTATTTTGTTGTAAATATTTTTAAAACTGCGGTGAATATAAAACCCCTACTGCTCTGAAAAACAGAACTAACTGAACCAGGATCCCCCCGGCCGCTCCTACCTGAGCCTGCAGGAGGCGCAGCTGGCGATCCTGATGGAGCAGGAGCTGGTAGGTGTCTGGCTGCCCGACGTGATCGCAGCGACAGGGGGGGCGGGGGGGCCAGAGGGGGGACACGGGGCCCGCTGCTGCTGGACAGGATGGGTGAGGAGAAGGAGAGTCTGTATGCCACGGGAGAGGAAGAAAAGGGGGAGGAGGAGCAGAGAGCCAAGAGGGGGGAAGAGGAGTGTGGTGGTGTGTGGAGGGGTTCAAGGAGGACGGAGGTGAGTTATGGAGATGAGAGGGAGGAGAAGGAGGGAGGCCAAACGATGGAGCAGGCTGATGGGTGGAGGCAGGAAGGACTGAAGGACAATCGCTGGGAGGAGGGGGAAAGCATGGGTCTGAAGTCAGGATCGGGACGGGGTGAGGCTTACTGGTAGGAGAAGACTGGAGGATGGAAGGTGGAGGAGACTGCTTATTTAAAGGAGGAGAAGAAGAGTGGAGGTGTGAAGCTGGAGGAGTTTGTTTATCTAAATGAGTAGGAGCAGGGCAGGGATGTGAAGGTGGAGGGGTTTGCTTATTTAAAGAAGGAGATGGAGCAGAGCGGAGGATGGAAGGGGGAGGAGTTTGCTTGTTTAAAAAAGGAGATGGAGCTGAGTGGAGGTGTGAAGCTGGAGGAGTTTGGTTATCCAAAAGAGTAGGAGCAGGGCAGAGGTGTGAGGGTGAAGGGGTTTGCTTATTTAAAGGAGTAGGAGCAGGGCAGATGTGTGAGGGTGGAGGGGTTTGCTTATTTAAAGAAGGAGATGGAGCAGAGCGGAGGATGGAAGGTGGAGGAGTTTGCTTATTTAAAGAAGGAGAAGGAGCAGGGCAGAGGTGTGAGGGTGGAGGAGTCTGCGTATTTAAAGCAGGAGAAGAAGCAGAGCGGAGGCGTGAGGGTGGAGGGGTTTGCTTATTTAAATGTTGAGGAGGAGCAGAGCGGAGGTGTGAGGGTGGAGGAGTGTGGTGTGGGCAGGCAGGTGGAGCAGCAGCGGGGAGGAGCGCCGGGGAGGGGACGATGGAGGTGCAGTTGTGGGTGGAGCAGCAGGTGCAGGGCAGCTGCAGGTTGGAGTTTGGGGTGCTGTGGAGCTGAAGAGGGGGAACAGGTTTGGAGGAGGGCCCGACTGGTGGAGCCGGCTTCTTGTGGGCGGAGCCCAAGCTGTGATTGGAGGTGAAGCTGCTGTCGATCAGCAGAGAGAGCTCAGGAACCGACGGCTGAACCCTAGGGGCCTGTGAACACAAACAGCCGGCTCACGGAGGAACTCAACAGAACCGAGCCAAGAGGCCCCCACCGCCCGGCCCAGAACCCACCTGAGGGGCCGGGAGGTGGGGGCTTGGGGACGGGCGGGGAGAAAAGTCCTCGTCCTCCACGCCGGAGTCCTGGTCAGAGAGGCCTGCGGCGGGCGGAGGCGAGCTGAGGGCGGATGAAGACGTGAGCGTCACCACCTCTTACGGTGAGTTTACTGCCGGCGGAAAACAGAGTTTTCTGACCTGCTGTAGGACATCTGAGCGTTTCTGAACAGCTCGGCCGGCCTGCTCCGCTCCTCTGAGCCCAGCTCACACTGCAGAGCCCGACCCTCCGCCGGAGAACACTGCTGACGGGCCCACATTCATCACAAATAGTTACCAACCGCCCTCATTCACTACAAACATTCAAACCCACTTTCCATCAGCATTTTTAACAGTTGTCAATGGTGATTTTTCCTGGCAGTTTGTTTTTATTTTGATTATTTTTCTCAGCTTTAAACTGAGGTGCTCCTCCTACGTCCAACAGTTCTTTCCTGTGTGTGAACATAAATTTTCATGCTACCTGGTACAGTGTGACAGACTGGGAGGCGGTCAGCAGATGGAAGCCCATCTGTGAACCTGGTCCGGCTCCAGAGCCTCGACACTGGAAGAACTGAGGAGCTCTGTGGGTGGAGGCGAACACAACGAGGAGGAAACAGCCGCTTTCTGATAGAACCCTGAAAAGCAGAAAAGATAAGAGAGTGATGCTCCAAACAGGAAACATGAAAGTTTCATTTCTCCCCGTCACTCACCTGTCCTGGAGGGCGGAGCTGAACATGAACCTCAGACACCACGCCCACACCCGAGGGTTGGAGACATGTGCCACTCCACTCAGCCAGCTGCCACATGACAGAAAATAAGACGACAAATATCAGGAATAAAGTTTAAATTCTTCCATTTATCCATCTATTCTGATGTTAATGCATTATTCCCAGGTATTAAAACAGGTGAACCAGCTGTTTAGATTCCAAACATATATTGTCAACAAAGAGCACGAGGACTGGGGGACTTTCTGCCTGCCTTTTTTCCTTCAATAATTTTCAATTTATGCGATTATCTAGTTCAGTGGATTGAATAGGATATATTTTTAATAGACAAGTTTTGTGTTCCGGTCCCACAAAGACAAATCTGTGAGAGAGGAGTTATTTCTGACAGAAACTGTCATCTGACTGCCTTCTTTCCTCTTTGTAAGGTCTCAAAAATGTGGATTTGTGGAGTTTGTAAAAGCAGAATAGGAGGCAGAGCGTTCAGTTATCACGCCCCTCTCTGTGGATCTGCTTGCAAACATTTGAACTTTGCGGTACCTTGTGCTTAATTTTGAATGAATTCCGTTTAGAAAAAAATAAAAAGAAACTTACAGCCCGACCAGTGGCAGTTTTGAGGCTTTAGGATCAGACTCCAGCAGCAGGACGAGCTTCCTGGTCTGGTCCATGGTCAGAAACCTTAAAAGACATGAACACACTGATGCCACATGCTCTGGATTGGTGGGATAACAGGGTGCCGGCTCACGATGACGACTGGGTCCTCACCCCCTCTGTCGGCCGGTGTGCTGCAGTGGTCGGCCGACGCTGGTCAGGCTCCTCAGCAGGGCGGTGGGGATGATGGGGATGGCTCGGACCGGCTGGACGTCCACGCTGACAGCAGGGCAGACGGCCGACCAGCTGAGAGCGAACGCCGTGGCATCGGACTGCTGCGAGCAGAACACGCAAGCTCTGATTCTCAGCAGCTGGGAGAGATCCAGAGACTGCCTGCCGCTCACCGCCTGCTGCAGCAGCTGGAACACAAAAAGGAGTTTGTTTAGCCATTTCTAGCTTTTTATGACCAACTCAGGACGTAAAGTTCCTCAGAGATGAGCATGAAAACAGGAGGAGAAACTGTTCTAAGGGTGCTCCTAAATAAATTAGCACCTGTGCAAAATATTAATTTTTGTTGTATTATCAAATTTGACAACTCGGTTTGAACTCGGTCGGACTTTAGAATGCGGACCTCCAAATGGTTAATTCTCCCTGGAACAGCCATACTTTTTAATTTTTTTCAGGTGCATATTCCTGGTATTTCAAAGGCTGAAATATCTCGTATAACTGCTTTTAAAAAGGGAGGGAAGCTGTATAGCATTCACCTCTTTCCCTACCCATTTATTAATTTCTATCCATTGGATGTACAAATGTTGCTTTATATCTAATTTAAAAAAAAAATCTAAATTTTGTATCCCAATCAAATAGAAAATATTTAGAAAAATAGAAAATAAACAAAAATAGAGCTTTTTCAATTCATAGAAACAAAAATCTAATTACTGTTTTCATTTTATGTTAATATATAAATACAAATAAGCACAGAAATAAAAAATATTAGGTTTATCTTCTGAATAGAAATCACCTTAAAGCACTGATGAAGCTCCGCCTCTGGTTGGACGGCAGCGTCAGGCTTCAGCTCAGACTGAGCATAGAACAAACAGGAAACCAGGACGTCCCCGGGCACCAGAGTGGAGGGGACCCGGCCCGGGCTGCCGGCCTGATCCCGACCCGGATCAAAGCGGTCCAGAGTCACCGTCAAACCCTCCTCATCTGGAACACACAGCTGGATTTGAAACGAGTATAATGAAATTTTAAATGAAGCAGGCAAAGCACGCAGTGAACTCTAACCTTTGTCAATGGCCACTGAACCCAGGAAGAAGCAGAGGAGGCGGGGCTTGTTGCTGCGGCGGAGGTGACGCTGCGCCAGACGGAGAGCCTTTTCCAGCAGCACCACTCGCGGCTTCCTGTGGAGACATGATAGGTCAGACCAGTCACATCCAGGTAGACAGAGCCTGAAGACCACAGTGAGAATGGCCAAAGACACGACCTGCTCCCAAGCCGAGTAAGCTCATTATTTTTAATGAACTTGTCTTTAAAGGTGAAGTTTTAAGCCCTTTCTATCAATTATCCACAATTTTCTGAAGTCCTGTTTGATGTATGAGACACTAAATAAGTGTTGGTTCAGCCTGTATCAGACCTGTTGGTTTTTTATTTGTTTGTTTATCTTAATGTGTTTTTTTTTTTAATGACGGCCTTTAAATGTTGTTGATAAAGACGGTTCTAGACAGTTGTACTTGGAGACCTGCATATTTATCAGAAACATGCTGAGCCTTCAGTTGCTGAGCTGGAACATTCCCCTAAGATAAAGTGTATCCAATGGACTCAGGTATCCTCTGAGGACGCTGCTGGATGGAAGATACATGTTCCTTAGAACAGCTGACAGCAGAACATTTCAGAGATTCGTGTTATGGGCGTCTTGAACATTGAGTGGTTTACCTGCTAGTACAGAACTGGAGGTGGAGCTTCTCTCCCATCGGGCTGCTGTCCCACAGAGCCGATCTGGATTTGGGGAAACTTAACGGAGACAGCGAGCTCATGGAGGCTCTGAAACAAACCATAAAGTCACGTGGTCAGATATGATGGCTGCTAAAATGTTCATTTCATCAAAATCACACAAGATTCCACAAATCCCAAACAAGGTATCAATGAATCTGCAGCCTCCTTAGACCAATCTAGATGACAAAACACTTTATTGATCCCAGAATTTGGAAATTATTGGGAAACAGGTGTATGACATACAGAACACAAGACAGTGACTTAATTTCCCTTATTTATTTGGAATTACTGTAATTTAACTAAACCGAATAGTCTCTTCTTGCACAGTTTATTCAAAGGCATATCAGACAAGAGAAAATAAATAATTCAGCTACATGATGCCAGAAAAGCAAAAACAGAGTACCACCTTATTTTAGTAACTGGAATCTGAAAAGCGTGTAAAATGACAGCGAAATGGTTTATTGAAGTTTCCTACAACCTAACCTATAAAAGCCCATGCAATCTTATGTTAACGGTATGTTGACATGAGCTTCGATAAAGCCGTTTAGCAGTTTGTTGTTATCCTGTTTGTCAACGTTAAACTCACCTTCCCCGCATATTATCCGGAGTAAATACCTCCTCTAGAATGCCGCTGGGTAAAGCCTGTAGGTTGACTGGGTAGCTCATTTGTTTTCAGGGAGTAAAAAGTTGAGCTATAAGAGGCAAATAAAAACAGCAGTGGCTTTAATTCGGCTAACACCTGTTAGCGGGAGCTAGCATTGTTAGCCTCCTGTTCGGAAACGCATCTGCCTTACAGATAGTGCGAACCTAAACTCCCTCGAACAGCGGTTAAATGTTTAATTAAGCGACCACCTTTCTAAAGAGTTTACCCTCGTTCATCGTTGTATGATTGATATATTTAACCAGAAAAAGGCAGTGTTGAGACTAAGTTATTAGCTTTTCAATTATGGCGCTGTTTCCCGACTCTACTGGCGGGGCAACCCAGTTGACCAATAGGAAGCTGCTCTGCAATCAGTCTAACCAATAGCTTGCCACTCTGTTTTTCCAGCATTTCTTTCTTCTTCGTCTTATGATAAGAAGTAAAGTACCAGACTTTCACTCGATACCGCCTCCTATGGGTCACATTTTGGGACAAAAACAGATCAATCTTTAGAACATTTGATCTCATTTGCTTTTCTGATTTCTTAATTAATTTACAAAAAACATGAAACAATTCAACTAAATGTCGCACTATGCTATCATAATAACTGAAGTGTGTTTTTTTAAAAGAAAACATAGACTTATCTGTTAAACTGATTTATCATTTTAAACAAACTGCCTGTGATTGATGAATTATTTGGTGTGCAGCTGAGTCATCCTGCAGCAAAGAGAGTCATTTCCTGAAAAGCAACACACAGTAATTATTAATAAGCATGTTACACTACACGGGTTCAGCAGAGATAAAGCAACCAGCTGCTGAGCAGAGAAACAAAGCTATGGATGGACACAGCAGGATAGTTGTGTGTTGTATTTAACCTGTGATTAAGAAAATTAGAAAAAAACAGAAACTTACAGACCGATGAGAGTTTAGTGTTTTCTGTGTGCTTTTCTGTGTGCTTTTACAGAAAAGTATTTAAAGATTGTCAATCAGAAATGTAAATAAAGCAATTGAATCAGAAAACCAGTTCCATGCAATTCTAATGAGCTCTACAAAAAATATTTGACTTTCATCCACAACCCTCTTCATCAAGTATGCAAGAAACAAAGAGCCAAAAGACCAGATTCAAACTGCTTCTTTACCAAGTTATATGTTCTGTGTAGACACAAAACTGTCTCATCCCTTGAGTTAGGGCACTTGTTTGCCCTTTGGCTTTGCAAAGAAAAAACAAATGTATCTGAAAATGCTTAGCCACAAGGACTGAACTGAAAATAGTAGTATAAGCTGAAAATATATTATTTTTGAAAGAAGAAATTCAGAGAGATTCATAAATCTGTAGAACTGTTGCTCAGGGCCACTTTAGAAGATTAAAGAGATCCTTGCAATGAGACACTCCTCTACCATACAGTGTTTCAACCTTTTTCCCAGTTTTCAGATCCTTCTCCGAATTTTTTTTAAAGCTACATTATCCTGTGAGCTACCTCAAGTCTCAGATCTCTGAGCTTCAGAAAGCCTGGAGAAACATTGGTCACACTATAAAAGTTAACAAAAAGTATTAAAACAGAAAGAATTGACAGCTGTGTTGTTTGTTTTCTTTATCACCATGGTTATAAGGAAGGGTATCTATCATATTTAAAACCAGTAACATATGTATCTATTATCATCAATTTGATAAACATTAAACTTGAAAACATATGTAGATGTTTTTGGTTGTTGTTTTATATATTTATAATTCTGCAATCTTGCAATACTTTGCATTAATTTATTTTTTATTGACTCAATATTCTGCTTTTACTCATATCCTTCAATTAATAGGCAACTCTGGGCTTTTTAATCCATTTTTGTTATTGAGACAACGCCCACTCGATGAGGGTGAAAGCCGTATTCGCTTCCCGTTTGGAGGCGTGTATGTGTCAACATAGACGATCTCCGATCTCAGGAATCTCAAGTCTTTTGTTGTTGGCTTTTAGCCAATCATTGCTCGGTTTTGACAAGAAACGCCCGAATTTCTACGAGCTGTCCAATCACAGAGCCTCTCGACACAGCCGCCATTTTGTTGGTTTATATTAGCGGTGGATGGAGCATTCTGCTGGCCGCTGGTTGGAACCTGTTGCTCCGTAGTTCCGTGTTGTGCAATGGACGGGTGAGTTATCCCACCGTTTTACGTTCTCACTCCTCGTAAATGTGATTCTGAATATTCTGCCTGTTTCTGACAGAAAGGGGGGTGATGTTTGACTTGGTGGTATTTGATTTCGAGATAAGGCGTTGCTGTTGTGTTCCGCCCAACTGTTGGTAAAGTTGTGTTTGTATAAGCAGGAAGCCGAGCTAGCTTAGCATGGTGCTAGCTGTGGAACGGGCCATTAAACACAGGAACAACTACATTAACACAAGCTGTCCGTTAAATTTGACGCCATTTGCCTGAAGAAACACGGTTATTTAGCCTAAATAATGCCTTGTAGAAACAATTAAGCTATTTGCAGCGACCGTTGTAACTTCAGTTCATCTCTACGTTGCTCTCACGCCCACTGTGTTCAATTGGACAACCTCCCATTGGAAGTGTTAATTTGGTTAGAAGTCAAATGATCTCATAAGGTAAATACACGCCGATTATAAGGTTTGCCTGAACTGATCGAAATAATATGTGTAACTAAAGATAAAATGTGTAATGTTCGACGCAGAAAAGAAAAGTATCTTAAATTCCCTTTTAATCAAACGATGTTTGGTTTTATAATCTGAAAAAGAGTAAGGCCTAAACCTAAATTGATAACTTTTGCTCAAATTTTGGAACATAATATTTTATTCATTTTAGGTGTAATTTCTTAAGTTATCGTTTAAATTGCACTGTTTTTACATGGAGCTCTATGGTGTGGTGCCTGGGTTGGAAGAGTGAATCATATGTATTCGAACCAGATACACATCTTGTATTTTGTTAAATGAAATTTGTGTCTTTAAAGATTGTGTTTTCTGTGATTAAGGGAAATTTGAGTAATTTTTTTTTCTCTTTAAAAGATATTCCTGTCAAAACAACCTGGTTGGTTTGTTTAACATCGTTTAAAGCGTATTGACATTTAAGCTTTATTCATTGAGCCTGTTAAATTTGCAGTTTGGTTTAGCTCCTCAGTGTGTGCCTCCCATGTGTAAAGTACAACTGCCGTCTCTTCAGGTGCAGCCAGGAGACTTTTGTGTTCCTCATGTGAATATTTGTGCTTTGTCAGGACTCATGTGTGGCCTGAGGGGTCTTTCTCCTGCTGGTTTGTGGTGTGTTCAGCTCGACCAGCCGGTTTGTCGTTGTACTTTAGAGTGAGAGCCGTCTTGTTCAGCTTTCTACTCCTAGCTTCCTGCCTGTTTTTAATGCCTTACTTTAAGATCTTCTACTGTTTTAACATCCAAAAATTTGAACCTTTTTTATTTTTGGGATCTGGTATTAGATCAAATATTAACATTATAACTCATAACACAGCTTTTTTAAGTTACAAACACACAGAATGTTACCGAACTTTTAATGTGTTTATACTTTGTATTATAACCATTCTGCCCATAATGTGCGCTCAAGTTAGGGTCAAAAACGGTCAACATGGTTGAGCAAAATATTTTAAAGATAGATGATTTTTTCAAAAGTAAAACATGACATATTAAAACATATTCCAGCTCATCAAATGGGCAGAGTTACGCTTACAGTAATACATGAATAATTAATGAGTATTTGGATGTTTCTGTAACTTCCTGTAAACTGGTGGTTTTGGGATTCAGTATTTTTAGGTGTCTAGTTTTATCAGCAGTTCATGACATTTTCATGTCCTTTTTAAGGGAAGAATTTTTTTGGGCTTAAAAGACATTTTTTATTTATTAATCCACCAGATGGTGTGATTCAAGAACATGTCTTAGAATAATAAATAAAGAGAATATAATAAATCATCATATTTAAATTAATACAACTGAATATCATCCAGTTATTTTCTGAACCCCCTGAACAATGAGCGTTGTCATTCTGTCCTGTAGATGTCTGTCTGAAAGGTGAGTTTTGCTCACATGGTCCAAGCTGTGATTGGCTGAAACCTCCCAGGAGGAGCTGGAAGATCATACCTGAGCCCCCCCACCCCACCCCTCTCCAGTTTAAAGATGGCTTCCTTGCCTCTCAGAAGTGGACGTAACTGTCCTCACAGAGTGTCCCTTCTCCTTCAGATGGAGTTTATACCGGGCTGGCTCTCTGTGCAGCTGTTTTTTGGTCTCTCTTTTAGTGAGCTTCTCACACTCCTCTGCTCTGTGTTGCCAACACAACGCCACTCAGCATGTGCTCGGCAGTTTCTGAGTGGAGCAGCCTCTCTCTGAGGGGTTTGAAGTGTTTGGATAACATCTTTATGATCCGAGAAGAAGTCTAGTTAAGAACTGCATCAGCTGGGGGGGAAATAACTCGTAGCATCTAATGGAATTTAAATCCACGTGGTGACTTTCTATGTTTGTTTGTTTTTTCGGGACGGGCAGTGTCTGTGCTATAATTGGTTATTTGGCCATTTGTTTTAAAAAGCTTTCATTTATTTAAATGTTTAAATCTATTAAACTAAACTGAGAGGGTTTTTCTTTGGAACATAAAGGGAATTGGAGTTGATTAGGCAACCTGTAGTTGTCTTTTTGATCAATTTGTCGATTGATTGCATCTATAAACTTTCCTCAGTGTTTTACTGAAACTGTCATGAGCATTACCGTTAGCATCAAGGTGGCCTTTCAGAGGAACTGTTATCTATACAAATCACATTTTAACATGACAACTTGTCAGTCACATAGATTTTTTATAACATTTCCATTAAAACGAATTTCCAAACGGTGTGAGCTTTCAGGCTTTCCTGTTTTTTGTAATCGGAAGCAGCCACTAATGCCACAATGATCCAATCATGGCACATAAAAATGGTAAATTTGTTCCTTTTGAGGACAGAACATGTGGGGGAAGCAGCAGGAAGCCGTGCAGGTTTTAACGAGCTCGTCCGCCTCAGCGCTGCTTTGTTTGAAAGCCCTTTAATCATCCGTTGATCTCTCTTCGCTCTGCTGGGTGTTTCTCGGCTTCTCCCCTCATCTCCTCACACAGCATCTCCTTGAGCTTGTTATTTTTCTCCTTTTTATTCTTTGTTTGCTGTTGTTTTTGAGTTTTCTCCCTGCTGCCTCTAACACGCTTTCTTTTCTTCACAGCAGTGTCCACCACGATATAACAGTTGGTACTAAGGTAGGCACCCCTGCTTCTTCTTCCCTTTCTTCCTGCTTCTTTTCCTGGTTTGTTGCTTTGTTTGCTGCTCCGACCATCCCTGACTGAACCTGACAGGATGGAGACGCTGCCATCTGGGAACAATTTGGAGCTTCTCTCTGTAATTACTGTGGCGGTTGCTCTGTTGTTTGTCTCTGCTGAGGGCCCAAACTCCAACAGTTATTTGCCTTTAAATCACATTCCACAACAAGTCTGAGAACAATCAGATTAGGCAACAACACTCTCGCAGAACTATGCTGCTGCTTTAAAAGAATCCAGTCCACTCCGTTTTAATTCCGTCCTCATCTAATGCATCTAAGTCTTTGACACATAAGCTAAAATGGTTAATCAGCAGTGTTCAATCATGGTTTATGAGTTTATTCACGCTTCACATGCCAATCTAATACCCCCAAACATTACAATTTCACGTTTTAGAACGTGAAGCTTTAAAAAATTCATGTCCTTCTGTTGTCTACGATTAAATACATTTGACTGAAGTTTTGCATAACAAAACAGCATATAGAAACAGTATGTGGAAAAACAGAAAAAAGTTGACTTTTTTTTCTAATCAAATTGGCTTCTGTGTGGTGTTAGAAAAGACTTGAGTGATTTTTGTGTGTTTTCTATCTGTAATGAACAGCCATCATCCCGGGTTTGCTAATGGCCACCAAAGGGAATGTTTAATCCAATGGGTCTCAAGATGAGGCACTAATACATGGTGAATTTTAAATATTATTTGGTCTTATACAGTCTCACAAGGCAGTTTTATCATAAACGAACATAAATCAGATCAGCAGTGACCCCAATAATGCATCCACTCTCAAATTAGGCAGTAACTATATTGGCTAACTATATTGGCTTAAGACGTTGGTTTAAACTTGCACTAACATGAATTGACTCGAAACCTATTACATGTTAAATGACGCATCCATAAACATGAATTTGCTAAGATGTTGGTATGCCGATCATGAAATTGAATCTCTGTGGACTATTCATGTAATGGCTGTCTGTCAAAGGGTTGAAACTGACATAGATTTTTAAACCAAAAATATACCTTTTTGTTTGGAAATAAGTTTTGAATTAAAATGTTTTTGAGCATTACATTTTCCCTGATGGAACATACTTTTAAAACTGTTTAGCTTCACTTGAAGTGAGTTACATTCAGTTATTTTTATGCATTTCGTGCTTAATCATTACAAATGCCTGAACTGGACGCTCGCTAATGCTAATGCTAATGCATTCCTCGCCGGGTACGCCTGCCGATTGTCGAAGGCTGCCGTTGCTGCTGCTGTTTTCAGGACAAAAACGCAAATACAACTAAACCACATGAAGGCAGAGAGGAGGCCTTGATCAGAGAGCAGGAAGTGATGGGAGGAGGAGGGTCAAAGGGGGATGGTGTCGTCTGATCACAGCTCTCCTGTTTCCTACTCCGACTCCGGGCGAGTAATTTAAACCACACTGACCGCTCACACCGGCTCAGGTTAAAGAGGCGGTTCAGGAACAAAAACAGGCTAAATCTGCCTTTTTTAGAATAAAGAAGTTGGTTTGTAAATGTCCGATGCCCCCCACCCCCTTCTGGATGACGTCTCCACACGTAAAAGCTGCACAGCCATAAAAAACTCCAGGAAAACCATTCTGTGCCTGTGAAGTAGTTCAAAAAGAAGAATCATAAAATTGAAGCCCATTTACCAAAAATTTAAAAAGACTTGCATATCTTTATGCTCTTTATTTTCAAACAGTAAAGAGACTAAATAGATGAATAATGGGAAATGAATAACCTTTCCAGTTCTTCTGGTTTCTGTTTTGTGAACATAAATGTTCTCAACCCTTTTTAGTCATTCAAGAATTTAAAAGAGCCTTTTAATTTGTAAAATAACAATTAGTGATCGCTTAAAAAAAAGTGTAATTATTTATTCATTTATCTAAGCTCTTATCTAAGTCTTTGGGTCAGATTGACCCGTCTGTAAAACTAATGTGTCACCACGGATAGTTCCATGATTAGCTCTACTTTATCTGTGATAATACATCAACATATGAGCCTGTGATCCAAACTAGTCAAAATAATTCAGATTTCCTGTTGCTTTTCCTCCAGAATCAAGGCTAAATGTTACAGATGCACATTTTGACTACTCTGTATAGCAAACATTGAATGATGCAAGGTTGAAATGAGTTTTTATTGTCCTAAAAAGTATATTTTTGGCACATCAGCAGCCTTCCGTCTTGCACTCGCCACTCTACGTCCATCTATATGGAGCAGAGGTGGTTGATAATGGGCTGTGCATGCGTTTTGGGCATTACACCGGAGCTTTCCTGTCTACCGCTTGTGTTTGGATGAGCAGAACTGTGGTGGAGCTTTTGACACACTGTTAGCAGTATCGCTCCATCCGACCAAACTTGTCTTTTGTCTTGGTTCCCCACCTGAGGGCGGAGTCTGGCCGTCGGTCAGCAGCTGTCAGACAGCAGCTTCAGATCAGTGGAGGGCAGCACTCAGGTTTCTGCTTTTTTTATTATTCATGTGAGGATCAGTAAGAAGATCTGAGTTCCTTTGTGTGGATTTAAAAAAGTCCCCTTAGTTTCCTCTGAGGGAAAAAGTAACAAAGCCTCTAAACAGTGTCCCCCCACTGATACCGGACAAATACATTTTTTTTAAAAGTCCATCACAACAGCCTGAAAAACCATGTTAATTATTGATCATCACTCTGGTTTTACTTGTCTCATCAACATGAGTTCAAACTGTCTTTTTGTGTAAAGTGCAGACTTTGGTCTCCAGCTGAAACCGAGAATCAAAGATGCAACATTGTCTTAAATGGGCCATGTAAATCAGATTAATGGCTAAAAGAGAGGGAGGAAAAGTTCATTGGACACAATTAAAACAATTTACTGAGTGGTGATCATTGGGACTTCTTTTTTCCGAAGCTTCAGTCAGATATTTTTTTTAAAAAGTTCGGTATGTTTCTCAAATAAAGACATACCCGAAATCAACAGAAACTGTGATGGAATCTTTTTGGCAAATCATTGGAAAATCAGCTTTTTAGGTATTTAGATGAAAGAAAATATTTGTGTGTTCAAACAACTCAGAAATCTCAGCTTTTCCATGTGGAACCATAACGTGTCAAAGAGCCAATCACAGAGCTCCACCTGAACAGAAACCTGTAGCTTTGCTCTGCTTCACTCCAGCAGCTCCAGTCTTTGCACAGATAATGTCCAAATGCTGGTTCATGGTTTCAGTCAGTTTCTGACCCCCCATGGGAATTTTGGAAAGGTTTATAAGACACAGTGACAGTTTCTGGGATGGATACTTGCAGCGTTAGCTTCAATCTGAGACAAAGATGTTTATTTTTCTGAAATCGGAATATGTTGTGTTGATCGGGATTGTGAAACTAATTATGTTGGTTTTCATTATGAACCCATTTGACTAGAATTTAAATTAGATGAAGGGTAGTCTGTGGTACTCTCTATGGTTGTCGCCGTCTATCAGCCTGTTCGTCTCCATCTGGTTTTCATTGAGCTCCACAGCTCAGGAATTCACCCAGCTGCCTGCTGGGGGTGACTGAGCAGGGTTTCAGACTGCAGCTGATGTTCAGTGTGATATAATCGGTTTGTTTTTCCCCATGAATGTTTAAACCCTCAAACCATCTTAACAGAAGTATTTCAATCTAATTCAAGACAAGTATGCATGAAACAAAGTCTATGAGATATCAGAAAAAAGTCAGTACGATTTTTCATCAACTGTAGACTGATCCAGTTTATGCATCTTTATATCCAAAAGCAACTCCCCCCCACCACGTTCAACGGAAAAGTAGTGATACATTCACCCAGACCAATTATTTTATTCTTTGGCTGCTTGACTGCCATAAATCTAAGGCAAGACACAAACTAATGTCTAATATTGGATTAACATTTCTTTAATTTCCTCCTAAAACTACAATTGTGTTCAAGAATTTATTTAGGCTCAGCATGGACTTTGTGTCTCTGGATGTTAAACTTGTCGTGGACTAACTTTATAGGAGAGTGTAATCATTTTCTGTGTTTGACTGCTTTGACATCAGTGTTTACTGTGTCTGCAGCTTTGATTGGAACCTGAAATGGTGACATCATTCAATCTGAAGAGCTTTAGCTTTAAATGGGGTGTAACATATAGGGACAGAGATGAGAACCCAGATTTGACCTGAAATGTTCGGAACATGAAGGTGTTACGTAAGATTTCTTTTTCTCTCTTTATTTCTTGTTTACAACTTTTCCTCTTTGCATCATGTTGGCTGTCAGGTGATGTTTAGAAAGTTGTTTTTTTTTTTTTCCAGAGAGGATCTGACGAGCTTTTCTCCAGCATCTCCAACGGCCCGTATATCATGAGCGCCACAGGTCAGAACCCACTGTGATTTAATAATTCACACAGTCTCAGTCAATTGCAAGAGTTTAAACTTTTTTTTCCATTGACACATGACTAAAAAAATAGAAGCATCTTCAAATTTCTGCCACTTTCTCTAAATGAATTATGCCCGAATGGAGAGCTGCATCTAAATTTTTATTTGTTGATTTGTTGGTTTGATGGTTGGTTTGCTGTAATATTAACTGATTATAAATCAATTCCCCTTTTTCTGTAGCCAATGGCAATGACAGCAAGAAGTTCAAAGGTGACATAAGAGGTCCCAGCGTGCCATCGAGGGTCATCCACATCCGAAGACTCCCCAACGACATCACAGAGACCGAGGTGATCAGCCTTGGCCTACCCTTTGGAGACGTCACCAACCTGCTGATGCTCAAAGCCAAGAACCAGGTAAAAACCAGCCCCACAATCGTCATTTACTACAAAAACAACGGTGTTCTCCAAGTTTTCAAACGACTGTTTCCAACACATTAATTTATATTTCCACTTATTTGTAATATATTTTATAATGGTTCTAATTTACTTGAAATTAGAGCAGATTTTTGAGGGGAAAAAGCATAAAGTTTGAATTCTTCACTCTGGTTTTAATCAGAGGCTCACAGGGAGGATACTGATTTTAAAGCATTTCAGTATTTCTTAATGGCAGCATTAGTTCCAGCTTTTGTCTTCAGGTCAAAGAGACTGATTTATAAAGCATGAAGTATAAAATGATCCCACAGCTCTGTGTTCCACCTTTGTTTCCAACATATTAACACAAAGCTTACATTAATCTTTGGATGGTAGAATAGAGCTCATTTACAGGAAATTATCCACAAAGAAAAAGCAGGACTCCATAAATCCTTTGACTAAAGTTTGGATCAGAGGCTCATCTGTTGATATAGTCTCACAGACAGGTTTATGTCAGAGTATGAACCATCTATGCTATTTTCAGTCAGTTAGATTAAGAAACGGAGACAACACGAGGGTTTAATGAAGGGGAAACGTAGACTGAATGTGAGAACAGGGATGTTCAGCCTTGTCTGGCTCAGTTTCCTCTTTTTTTTATTCTCTGAGCTGTATTCTTTGTGTGTAGTGAAGGGGAAAAAATACCAATTATCATAGATGTAACTGTAGACTGCAAACGGTTAAGTGTTTCTACAAACGATCAAATTGAGACCAGAGATCAGCATGCTGGCGATTTTCAGATTTTTGGGGGATCCAAAGTTTTTGGAATAGATGGACTTTAAATGGTAAAACAGGGCAGAGTATTGAGTTGTAAATCCTCTTTCAGGTTTCCACTGCAGGCACTTTATCGACCTCTGCATCAGATTCCAGCCAATCAAAATGCGCATCAATTGAAAATGCCATGCAGATTGCTTTTTCTTGAGTAAAGAACTTCAGGACCCTGGGTTTTACTCTATTTAAAAAATGTTTTATACCTTAATAACCCAGTTCCCTAAATTAACCTAAATTGGTTCCTAAAAGTGAACTCACTAAAAGCCTCCAGTTGAAAATTACAATGCCATTTCTTTTCAAATCTCACATTTCACTTAACTTTTTTGCTCAGTGAATTTTGACTGACTGGTTTTATTTGATATATGGCGCAACTTTTTTCACCATCAAAGCATGCCGAAAGCTTAACTTTTTACTGTTTTCTAAAGATGCGCTTTATCTCCACTTACATTTAAAAGTTACCCATATAAACGCTGTATTATTCTGCTTATTTGATTAGTGGTTAGATTTGGTTGTTTTTAGGGTCAAATTTGTTCCTTAAAATGAACATCGTTGACCCATTTCCTCTACAGGCTTTTTGATCAGATGATTATTGTGAGAACACCTCCAAGAATTATTGGGAAAATATTTTTTCAGTTAGTAGTGCTGCCAGTCTTAGTATTTTTCCGAGCCTGACACTGTCGTACAGATTTGAAGTAAAGGTGTAAACTGTCCTTCCTTAGGCCTTCTTGGAGATGAACTCAGAAGAAGTTGCTCAGAACATGGTGGGCTACTACTCCACAGTCGTGCCCATCATCAGACATCATCCGGTCTACGTTCAGTTCTCCAACCACAAGGAGCTCAAAACTGACAACTCTCCCAACCAGGAGGTAAAACACACGCCCATCAAACACGATCATAACTTGGCGTGTGCACCCGTTCACCTTCCGTCCTCTCACAGAGGGCCCAGGCAGCTCTCCGGGCCCTCAGCACCTCTCATGTGGACGCAGCAGCGGTGGTGGCTCCAAGCTCAGTTCTGAGGGTGGTGGTGGAGAACCTGGTCTACCCCGTCTCCTTGGATGCACTCTGCCAGGTAACGCCAGCACAACTCCAGACAAAAGTGAAACTGAATGATTATTACTTTATTTATCCCTAAAAATGAGTCATAAAATAGATGTGGCAATTAGTGGAGATCATTGTTTGAGGGCTAAAAACCCTGCAAAAACCTTGAACATGATGCACACAGAGCTGCGTGCTGTTTCCAGATGTGTTCAATTACTCGCCAGCACATCAGTCCCCTAACTCCAAAGTTGTTGGTGCAAAAATGGTGTAAAAATTATGCTCTTCATTTGAAAAATACTGAACGCGACTAAAAGTTTTTGACAATTGTGAATTTAATCACCTAATTTGCATGTGGTGACATCACTGATTACATAATTTCATGGCAGCCATCTTGGATTCTCCAGCCTTTTTAGCAGTGTTTTTTCCCCCGCCTGATATTGATTCATAAATACAACTATGAACAACCATTCCAGTTTTTGATTTTTTTTAAGTAATGTTTTTTCATTTTGTCCACATTAAAATACCAGAATCCATTAAATGCCTTTCAGACTACAGTTCTTGTGAGGCTAAGAACTGGTCATTGTATCTGCTAGGTTAATTTGTTCTCAGAATCCGGAGACCATCAGTTATACGGGAACAAAAGCTGAATATGAAGCTAAATCTTTCTTTCGTTTGGTCCCCAGATCTTCTCAAAGTTCGGCACCGTGTTAAGGATCATCGTCTTCACCAAAAACAATCAATTCCAGGCTCTGCTGCAGTATCCAGACGGAGCGTCGGCCCAAGCAGCCAAACTGGTGAGCACCCCCAACCAACAAAACCTGCCAGAGCCCCTCTTTTGCCATTAATACTACGTCTGTTGTGTATCAGTCTCTGGACGGGCAGAACATCTACAACGGCTGCTGCACTCTAAGGATCAGCTTCTCCAAACTTGCCAGCCTCAACGTTAAATACAACAACGAGAAGAGTAGAGATTTCACCAGGCCAGACCTGCCTTCCGGAGACAGCCAACCCACCATGGAGCACCCAGCCATGGCTACAGCCTTCAGTAAGACCTGCTTCACAGCCCCGTCTGTAACAGCATTACCTGTCCCAGAGGCAACATGCAACAAGATCAACATAACTACATATTTAAGTACTTCTAAATAAAAAAATAAAGTCACAATTTGTGTTTAGGAGTGTTTAAACACCTGCAAAAAGGCCTTTTTGTAACCACCAAACGGAAGCAATAAACCATCAAATAGAAACAGAAAGCAGGGTTCAGCTGATGGAAAACCAGCCAATGAGCTCAGTTACAGAGATATAATTGGACCAAGGCCATGGGCAGTCATGGTGCGTCTTTGGCTCCGCTTTTTGATCAGTGGTGTTGACGCCAACAAAGCCATGTTAGCGTGATGCTATTGGATGAAAGGATTCAAACCAGAGTTCAGACATACAAATGGGCCAATGGCAGTAGGGCTTACTGTCCCATGTGACCTGAGAAAGGAGAGGATGCTGTGTATGAGACATTCTCACAGTGTTGGCTTCAATTTCAAACTAAAAATGGTTCAGACAGAGTTCAGAATTAAAGGAAAAATCTTCAGGAGCTAAAGAGGTTTAAAAAAAAAAAAAAGGCAAAATTTAAAGAAAGCAGCTGTTCTGTGGGGGTTTAAGAAACTGAAGTGTTTGATCTCCCCGCAGCTCCTGGCATCATCTCAGCTTCACCGTATGCCGGAGCGACTCACGCCTTCCCACCGGCCTTTACCATCCAGCCTGCAAGTGAGTTTCACTCCTGGACGGCACATGCACTCATATTAAGTTTACCCTGAAAGAAATCCTTTTTTTATTAAATGGTCTGATATAAGTTGGGAATTTGAATCCTTAGGTCCTATTTTCCCATCCTGAAGCTAGAAGATCAGATTTTATTTTTCATCCTATTATCCCAGATTCCAGTAAAGTTAGGACATGTAAAATGTAAACAAAAACAAGAAACTGTGGTTAAAAAATTGTTGTTCACCCAGAGATACACTGCAAAGAGACATTTAATGCTTAAACTGATAAGCGTCACCCATCCTTTAAACAGAACTGGCTAATCAGTTTAAGAGCCGATTGTTGAAGCTTTGGAGGAGGAATTCTTTCCTTTCTGCTTAATGTTCAGCTCCACATGTTATGGGGCAGATTCAGATGGTCCAGTCTAATTCATGCAGTCTTTTCCTCCAAAGCCACACTGTTGTAACAAATAGAATGTGGGATATTGTTGTGTTGCTGAAATCGGCAAGATTTCAGATGGCATAAGATGTTGCTCAGAAACTTGGGTTGGACCATTCGGCTTTAATGCAGCCGTTACAGATGTGTGGGTTAGCCACACCGCCGGTGCTAACGGCCAGCTGCTGTCACAGATCTGCAGGTTTTGAACCCATCGGAAGGAGTTCCTCAGGGATCAATCTTCAGGCTCCTGTAGATTGATTTGCACATAAATTTAAAAAAAATTCTGTGTAAGAGATTAATTTTGAAAATCAAATTGTTCTGATTTTGTGAAGAAACCACCCAAAACTTGCATGATCTAACATTTGACAGCTTTAAACCTCGTGATTGTTTATCAAACTATAATTTAAATTTGTATTTGCATTTAAAGTCCCAGTCCCATTTGAAGTGGGATTTTGTCTTTTAGCCACTAAATACCAAAAAAAGATCATGCTTAAACTCTAAATGTCTTGTTTTTGCAAATCAAGAGACACTAATCTTAAGCATTTCTATGATGTTGGACTACTCACTTTATAAACTCACTTTTAATGTGATCGATTGAATTTGATCGATTCAAAGTTTGACATTTTTCTTAAAAACTAAAAAACCCTAAAAACTGACCCATGTTTTTTTGGCTGTGATCTGATTGGTCTCTGGCTTTTCTTGCCTCTTTTGTGTTTTTTCTTTTACCTATCTCACCTTTCTCAGTGTCCTCCGCCTATCCAGGCCTGACGATGCCTGCTCTTCCCGGATCATTGGCCTCTCTCACCCTCCCAGCCGCCGCCAGGCTGGGATTCCCAGCCATCCCTGCCGGACACTGTGTCCTGCTGGTCAGCAACCTCAACCCCGAGGTGAGCGGTCGCCTCCGCCTCCTTAATGCCCCATGAGCTCAGTCCGATCATCTTCTCATTATTAAAGCTGACACCGACGTTGAAGCAATTGGCTTGAGATTTTACCCACATTTTTGTTCATATAAGCAGCATGACAGAGGAGTTAATGCTCCAAATGTCGGCCGGGTGGGAAGCGGAACATTTCCCCTCATCTGACCTTCATCAGCCTGTCGCTTAAAATCTTGATGGCGGTCACTACAGCTAAGGCAACGTGACAAATAGGATTCCTTTACAGTAGCCAACTAAAGCAGAAGTGATAGAAATACATAAAACAATCAAATCAGATTAAAATACAACAATTAGATGTAAGTTGTTTAAGTAAAAGGCAGCAGCAAATGGCAACCTTTTTTATCGCTCTAAAAAAAAAAATTTAACGGCTGAGCATTCCTGGGGGTTTGCTCCACGTTTAAGCAGACTGATTCCTGATGACCTGTGGACTGTGGTTTGGTTCCTAATGAACCAGAGGTGCTGAATGTGTTTTAATCCTAAAACATTTAGAGGTTCCCGAGCTAACATGAGGGAACAGGAAGCCAGTGTAAGGATCTTACAACTGGACTTACATCATCTACTCTTTATCCAGTCATGTTATGCTCAAAATGCATATAATTGTCTCCTCAGTGCGTTCTTCTGAACTAAGAAATCAGCTTCTTTTATAGGTGAATTGGCTGCTAAATCCTGCCAATAATTAAAATTTTACAGATGGTCATTGAATATTTATTTTATTTATTGTTAGTTTTATTATTAGTGTGTATTGCGAATTTATTTAAATACATAAAGAGAGCATAGATTAATGATATGTGCTCACTAACCAGGAATTATACACTGGTTCCCTTTTGAATGTAAAAAAACATGAGTAGAATATTTTAAGTGGGGGAAATATTTACAGACTGAAAACATGAATATGAGTAAAAGATTAAAAGAAAAATTAAAAAGTCAAACAAGTTACAAAAAAGTCTGAACAAGTCTTAACCCTTTTAACTTCTTCAATTTCACCCTAAAATCCCTTAAAAAACCTTAGCATCTTTGTATATTGTAAATTAAAAGGCAACTTTTTATTGCATTTTAATTCATAGTGAAATAGTTTCTTGAAAAATAATGTAAATTGTATTTACCGTGTTTAATGATGCAAAACTTGCTAACAAAATTTAAATTTCCTTCCAATGTCCTAAAATTTTACATCTGGGACATTTTAAAACATGTGTGCTGATTTTTTATCTGCCCCGCCCTCTGACTTCCTGTTTTTGATGCTTATGTATTTAAACTGTTGTCCTGATTTCATTCCTCTTTCACACACATACACACAAACACACACACATACACAACTGTGCAGTCATGTCTGAAATGATGTCATTATGACATTGTCTGACCCTTCCTCTCCAAAGGTAATTAACCTTCTGATTGACCCCTCACTTGTCTTTTTTTTCCCCTTTTTTAATTTTTTGCCATGGAAACGCCTCGGACCCTCCACCTGTCCTGCCCTCCCACCTTTACCTGTCCTGTCCCTCGCTGCCTTCTCTGCTGTCTTTAAAGAGAGTTACGCCCCACTGCCTCTTTATTCTCTTCGGTATGTTGTCACTAGGTTCTTATTTTTTAAATTATCAGTGCCACCTGTTTGTTCTGATTTAAATTTATTTTCAATAGATTTTTTTCTCTGCTATTTCGCATTTGCTTTTTGTTCATGAAAAATGAGGTGTCTGTTTGATTTGTCAGATTTTGCGTGTTGATTTGAGTTTTGTCATAATACCTGCAGCTTTTCCTCACAGTTTGTTTAAAAAATCCAAATTGAAATATGTGCAAGTCTGAAAGATTTAGACTGGGTTGTTCGGGTTACAAAGGAAAAGATACAAAGAATCTATCAAATTTAAGACAAATGAAGCCAGTTTTAACATCGAACATACAAAAAAGGTAAGAAATCCAGTGCTTCTGCTCTTATTATTCGAAGTTTGCTTTCAAATAGTCTCTGATGAAATGCCGCCACAAAAAATCTCATGGCTGGTTCATAAATGAGCGCCCTCTAGTGCTCTCTGGTCAGCATCTGTTGGCCTGATGTCACATCTGTAGGCTGTGAGATTTCATATTAGAAAGCACAGTGCAGATTCAAGCAGACGGACCGCTGAATTAAGACAAGTCAGCAAAATGAAAGTATGATGCCTGAATGAAATTACACCAGCATTTTAAGATATCATTCAATGACCATTTCAATACATTTGAATGAATTAAGATCAAACTTGGAGCAACCTCTAATAACCTGGTTTAAAATGTTCCTCCTGTTTCTGCAGCCTGGTTTTCTTCATCTAGCTGGTTGAAAATGACATGGATGGTTCATACTCTTTTTAATGTGCTGAAAACACATTAACCTCAGAGCACGTTAATACCTCAGAGCAGTTTAACCTGAAAGGAAAAAAACAAAGGTTATGTCTCATTAGTCAGTTTTACGAAGAACAAGATGAGCTCATAAGTGGGAAAAAAAGTCTTTTTTTTCTATAACAAGCTGATACAATAACATAAATTAAAATTGGAAGCAGACAAAATCCCTAAAATCTGCCAACATATCACTTAAGACTTAAAGACACTGATTTAAATCTATCATTTTTGTTGAGCTGGAGTTCAAATCTACAAATTGTTTGTGTGAACTTTGAGGAGCTGCAGGTATTGTGGGTTTTGTTTTTATCTCAGAGTCTCAGTTTTTGAGTTTGCATGCTGGGTTTCTCTGTTTGCATGTCCTGAGTGCTGAATCAGGTGCCTTTGTTTTTGTATTATTTTAGGTCTATTCCCATAATTCATAGCACGTTTTTTGTGGTATTATCTGCCATTTAAAAAAATGTTCTCTGACCCTTCCCCTTAATTTCCTTACTTGCATTTCCTGTGTATAACCATTCAGGAACTCCACACTCCTAAATGAAATTCCCAAATTTGTTAGTTTTTTGGTCCCACTTTCTTGCAGCAGCATCTCAGGGCTGCAACCTCACTTCATCTGTTGGATATTTGATAATCCATCAACTCTCCTCTTCATAATTTTTAATTTTACTAAAAAGACCAAGGGTCAGTGGCTTGGCAGGCTGCAGTCAGATCTGCTTCATCTGTGTTTTTTCTGTCCGTTTATGGGTGGAGCTTCATGTCTGGATGATGATATCAGTGAAACCAGTTCCTAACCTGCACTTCTTCACTTATCGGTATCTGTTAAGGTGTCTATGGAGACGTGATGCGAGTGAAGATTCTGTTCAACAAGAAGGAAAATGCTCTGGTTCAGATGAGTGACAGCACACAGGCTCAGCTAGGTAACATATCGGTATCCAAGCGTTTAATCTCAGCTTTTGATTTCCATTCTGTACACGCCCTTTAGCCAAAGCAAGGCAAAGGTCCTGACCGTCTGTGCTCGTCCTCTCTGCAGCCATGAGCCACCTGAACGGCCAGCGGCTGCACGGGAAGTCTCTTCGCATCACGTTGTCCAAACACACCAACGTCCAGCTTCCCCGAGAAGGTCACGAGGACCAGGGCCTGACCAAAGACTACAGCAACTCCCCCCTGCACCGCTTCAAGAAGCCAGGCTCAAAGAACTATTCCAACATCTTTCCACCTTCGGCCACCTTACACCTGTCCAACATCCCGTAAGCCCCCCTCCGCTTTGAGGCCTCCTGCAGCCTGCACACCCAGAGCAGGCCACCCGGCCCTAATGCTTTTGCTGTCCGCTCTGCTTCTTGTCTGCAGCCCTTTGGTGGTGGAGGAGGATCTGAAGATGCTGTTTTCCAGCTCTGGAGCGATTGTCAAGGCCTTCAAGTTCTTCCAGTAAGTCTTTCCGCCCTCAAAGCTGAATCAGCTCTGTCCCCAAGGGCCAGCCAAAGGACTTACAGACTGAAATAGACCTGAAGGACTTAAAGGGGGGGTTTGTTTGTGTCTTGCTCAGGAAGGACCATAAGATGGCTCTGATCCAGATGGGCTCCGTAGAGGAGGCCATCGAGTCCCTCATCGAGTTCCACAACCACGACTTGGGAGAGAACCACCACCTGCGGGTCTCCTTCTCCAAGTCCTCCATCTGAGCCTCGGACTGCGTCTGGATCCTCCTCAGAGAGCCAGGTCCACGGTGTCCACTACACTCCAATCATTCCAGCGCACATCTGCAGAAACCGCCGTGAAGTCTGGTGTTACCTTAAATTATTGATTTTTAAAACCTTCAGGCTCGTTACTGTCAGAGAGGATTAGGGATTCAAGAGAGTGGTCGTTCTCTGGATCCGCAAAGCCAGAATTTTTTAGATTATAGTCAGAATTCACGCAATGTCCTTCTGGTTGTGAAGCTGGTACCTCTTCAGCCTTTCATGTCTTTCGATTTTAACCCGATACGAGGAGTTAAAGTCCGCCTTTTTAGATGATATCATGGAGCTCTGACTGAAATTTTCCCAATTCTGACTTTATGACCCACTCATCTGGGGCGTGTTGTTTTTCCGTAGCTTCCCCCTGGCTGAGCAGCATGCCTACCTGTAAAAAGATAAATACATAAAAACAGCCTGACGGCATTCGGGAAGTTGTAGCTTTACCCTCCAAGTGTCAGATCTCAAGCAGGCGTCCTTTAGAGGAGCCTGGTTAGACCTTCAGAGGATCCCTGTGCCTTATTCCTGGAGTCACAACGACCTCGAATTTAAGGAAAACAAGCCTCTGTGAATTGGCGAGAGCAGGTTTACAGTTGATAAAGGTTTACTGTTGAGTTGTATTACAGATATATCCCTATTTTATGTGTATGTTATTGGTGTTGTCAGTACTTTCTGTTGGTGTTTTGTACTGCTGGCTACTGTAGTGTGAAACGTGAACTGATTGTGTTTTAGCAGGTTTGGGTCTTTAGTCCTTGATGCTCCTTTTTATTTCTATTACTCTTTGACTTTCCTTATTTCCACATATGCAATCATGTTGTAATCTAATCAGATATTGTAGCAATATTTTAATCATTCCTGAAATCTTTGGTTTATTTTTTCTGGGCTGTCTTTGCTGCCTTCTGCGATTCGCAGGTGAATGTTTCTTTAGCTTTTCTTTTCTGTCGTGTTGCCTCTCTGAACAGTTTTATTTATAAGTTTGTGATCCACTACAGCTGAAAACCAAAAAAATGGCCTTTTAGATGCAAACAAAACCACCTGCCTCAGGTTTAAGGACTTAAAACTAAGCAAAAGTTGGTGAATATGGAGAGAAAATGGCCTCGGTGTAGTTATGCATGTGTTTGAAGCCCTCTGTGTAATGGAAAAAAACCCACACGTGCACTCAAATGTGAATACTTTCCACAGATTGTTGCCCCCAGCCTCACAGATGTGGTCACTTCTTGTTCAAAAAGGCTCCTTAAAATACGTGCACATGCATCGCTGATGTGCACGGACCAGTTTACAAGGTCACTTTAGATTTTGAGACTCTTGGCGTTTGAGTTGTGTGGTGCCTTCAAGTGTATTTAAAAGCTGCCGGGACATCTGAGTTTTCCATACACTTGTGTGGTGTGTCGAAACATTCTGTGAAGCGTTTTTCTGTGTATGTGTGCCTTTATTTAATCTTTTGTTCACCCAAAGTTATACACAACGATTTCTAAACTCTTGTGAAACTGGGCCGAGTCCATTTTCTCTCCACAGGTGAACTGGTTCCAACTTTCTTCTTGTTTTCCTGTGGGAATGTTTTTATTATTGTCTCAACCACTTCACTGGATTCAGTGTGGTTTCTATTGCAAAACAAGATGTAAACTAAGGTGCCTTCAACCCAGCACTGAGTCGTACATCAGGCATTAATTCTGCTTTATTCTGAGATGAAAGTTTGGCGGGAAGAAGCCCCGCAGCACATGCTGAAAAACATTGAAACCAGGCCACTCTGGTTTGCTGTATTTGTGTTTTATTATGAAAGCGTCAACATTCCAGTTCATTCCCCACCTTTAAAAAGAGACAAAACACTGCGCAAACTAGACATTTCCCCCAAATGAGCTGCTGGATATTAGTGATGTGTTCAGTGCACCTGGGAAGACTTTGAGAGTTGGACACTTAAAAAAGAGAATAAATAGCAAGTGGTGTCCCACCTCAGACGACGACTCCTTCATTTCAAGAGAGAATCCATTCGGGTCCTGTCTAATCCCAGAGAGCAGTAACTGAAGCCCCATTTCACCTGGATTGGGCAAAACCGACCAAAAATTAGGCTTAAGCAGTACTTACAAATGATACATGTAAACCCAACCACCATTTAAATCTGATCTTTGTAAGTAGATTTTCATTACAAACCTTTTTATTTTTTTTAAATAACATGCATACTTTCACATACAAACATCTGTATTTAGATGATTACTTTGCGCATAATGTTTGACTAATCAACTAACACATACTAACTTTTCTCAGTTTTAAGTATCTAGTGCTTTCATTGGTAGTCTGAGGTAATCAGGCCTCACCCACCACCAGGGAAGATACTGTTATTTTTGGTTAATCGTTTAAAGTGCTATATGTGAGTTCTCTGAGACTTTATCGAACTCATTTTACTGGATTTCAGAATTTTGAAGCATCACCAAGATGGAGCGGTTAAATTTACCACTGAAAACACTCCGAGCTGGACCTTTTGCTCACACGGCTTCTCCCAGGTGTACTTGAACGCATCACGAGCCTTGGGTTTCAGGTGAGGAGGGAGCTACAGCAGGACAGGGGTCTGTTCGACTGTACATATGAGTTTTATACACAGTTGTCTGAGAGGCGACAATAGTCGGTTTTATATCTGATGAGACGTGTATATTTTGATTGTGCGACCAGTTCTGAGCCTTACACTGTTTGTGTCACAAAGAGAAGAGAAACAGATTAAATCACTTTTTACCTAAAACTCAGTCTGCTATTTGTTCAACAACTCTCTGAATGTTGTAACTACTGTTCTTAAGAAAGAGGAGAGGAGACAGTGAGTCCTCTTCTGCTCCTCTTTAGTTCGGAGTGGACTCCTTTGTTCTGATGTCCCAACAAATCTGGGGTGTCCTCAGCCCCATTCCTCTGTACCTACTTGGTGTATATACGCCATTGGAAAGGCAGATGGCGCTGTACACACACAAATTCCAATGTGGGACCTCCAGTGTCGGATTTTATTTCATTTACACACTACAGGAAAAAAAACATTAAGAAGGCCAAAAAGTGTCTGGGAACTGCTTCTTTCACCTGCTCACTTCGAAAGGATTTTTCCAATATTTATTGACTAATTTAAAATTAGTTCTGAGCCTAAAGCCATCAACTTTCAGTACTCGAAGCAATTAAAATCTAGAAAAACAAAAACTGGTTTGAGAAAATTCAATGTGTAGTTTAACTAATTTCACCAAAGTAAATTTAGCTTAATGTCTAAGGTAAAAGTGACTTTATTTCTCCTTTAGTCCAATTTACTTTGTCTCTGTTGTTTGGAATTATAAGATACATTGTATGTTTCGTACAACCAGATATTAAAAAACATTTTATTGGTCTAAAAAATGCAGAGAAAGGCATACGTTTTGTTTAGGAGCCCAGTCTTATTTCTTTGTCTTTTGCTCATTCATAAACATCTGGTGTTAAAATGTCATTTCCATGTAAAACTTGGATTTAAATTAAGCCACTGGAGAGAGTTTGAACCCTTTTAAAATGGCAAATACTCAGAGGAACTCGACTGACCCGAGTCCTGTCCTTATTTCATGGAGAAACTTCAACTAATAGGCTTTTATTGACTTTTTATGTCTGCAGTGAGTATATCGGCTCTCCAAAGAGCTCTATAAATATTCTGGGAAAGACGTTGTGATGCTTCTATTATCCCCCTTAGCAAAGGGAACATATGAACGTCCTTTATGAATGGAAAGTTACGGATGTACACCCCCACGCTGCAGTTCCATTAGTGGCCACTTGAGGCACACTCAGAGTGAGTCATTGATGATTTATGGTGTTATAAAAAAAGGTTCAGAGTGGATACTCGGGTTTAAACCATCTCAGTGCTTAAAGTCGTGCCTTATTTTGGCCGGGGAAGATTTTAGTAGCTAATTGTGGCTCATTAAACGGTCTAAGCATAAACCAGAGAGTGAGAATGGCCTGATGTGGCCCACATCTGCTGTTTTCTTTGGTTCACCTGTGGCCTTGACTGATGAAGCTGACTCCATCCTGCGTTGCCGTTGGGCTTTGGCCACACCTCGTCCTAACAACACCTTTCAAAACCCTGTCGAAGTCGGGCTGTGACCTCTGGGCCACATCTGGCCCTCATAAAACATTAGTAGTTTTTTTTTTTTTTTTTTTTTTAACGAGCCATTAGCCAAAGTGGCTCAGATTAGGCCAAATGTGTCTGTAATCTGCTTTTAAAATAGATTCTTCCTCAAACTGTGAGCCGGAAAAGGTAAAACACTCCTTCAACAGCTCCCAAAAAAAAGGTGGATTTAATGTGACCTCAGAGTTTGACTCATTGCATCAGATTTTATCTGAGAGGACGATCAAAGCTTTGGTTCTCGTTCTTCTACTCAGGACAGCCAGGAAAAGACGATTACTGAGGCGGTGGGAGACCGAGGTAATAAAACAGAAGAGGAGAAGCGAAGCGTTCTCTTTAACACTCAGTCCTGTGGAAACGGCGAGTGAAGATCTGAAGCTTTACAGACTGGAGGAAGTTCATATCCGTGTCTTCTTATGGGCCGGTGACACGCAGCCGAACAAAGAGGGATTTGAAAAAACGCTGGCACGCCAGCTTGCTCTCACACGGCTGTCAAACAGAAATCCTTCCAGTCCGAGCAGAGTTAGCATAATCCCCAAGAATCCCCCCCCCCAAAAGAAATGCACACATATATACATCCAAAGAAATGCTGATGTGTTAGGAGGGTGGGTGCAAAAACAGAAACACTAGCTGGAAACGGCAATAAGTTAGATGATTGAAAGAGGTCTTCAAACTGGTTCTTTGAAAAATTAACTGATCCTTTCAGATTGCTGCTAAATGCTGGGGGGATTAATGAAGGGGTTAGGGGGCCCCTAATTCTCTTGGACCCATAAAATAGCTACTAATAAATTAACGTCTTTTGGTCCTTCTCTGAGGACTTTTGTTCTGCTGCTCAAGGAAGCAGGAAGAAGTTTTCTTTACTCCTTCCTCCATAGTTGGTTGGATTGTATCAGTTAAAGCAAAAAACAAATAGCATCTTCAAATCTCAACAAAAGCATCGCGAGTCTAATCAAAGCCACTTTCAGTTCAGTTACTTAAAGTCCAATTTATACAATGTGCATTCATAAAAGTTGAATAGAAAGAAGCAAATAGCATAACTCCTGTCCAGTAACAATATCATCAATAGACACTTCAAACATACAGACTTTAAGCCAATTAAAATTGAGTTAATCAAATTTGAGATTGGTCAAATTTATTGAAAGTTAAATTCAGAAAAGTTTATTCTCAAACCAAAAAACTGCTCTAAAAGCGGGAAAAAGGTTAATAGAAAGGAGGACGTTTAAAGCATTTCTTGCCTTTATCATCATGGGGAATATGCTGCCTAATAGCAGTTGCTGGAATCCTGAACTTCTCAGTGAGAAGGAGAACATCTGCAGCCCAGATGTTGAAGTGCTGTTCATGTTTTTACTGAGAGAGTTCTCCAGTGTTTACATCATCAGCTACAAAGGGAAGCATGTACGGGTAACATCCCACAAATCAGAACAAACCTTTGTGTACTAAATCCGAGTTGGTCCTCGATGCTACTTGTTGATATTTGGATTTGGAGTCATGGCTGCTTGTAAAAGACAGAAAATTCCCCTTTTGGTCATCTAGGGAAGTCACACATTCCTGTCCATTCTTCTCTTCCTCCTCTAAGAATGACGGACAGTTCAGAGGACTTGGAGAGATGCTGCCTGTCTGTTTCTTTCAAGATGCTGATTAAAGATTTTTGGCTCCCAGTAGATCTTTGATGCTTTTTAAAATCCTTCCTCTCTCCATCACTCAACGGGATTATTTATTCCCTCCATTTTCTTTCCTTTGTGCTCTTTCTTTTCTCTTCATGTCTCTGTCTGCACCTGCTCTTTCTTCCTATTTTATTCTCTTTCCATCTTTTCCCCCCTTTTCTGTCTTTTGGACACTTTTGTTCCTCCCACCTTTGAACCAAAGTTCTGTTCTCCCAACAGAAAGTAATCGTTCCGTCGGGTATTGAAGAGTTTGTGCTAATTTTTGTTGTTGTAAACTCTTCTTCTGATCTAGGAAGTGCTTGCAAGTCTTCTGCGAGCATTACAACATTCTTGATAATTAACCCCCATAGAGGCCCCTTAATATCCTAACACCTTTGTCCTTAATAACACAAAAGAAAAGTGCTGTTAGTCTCAACACAAAGTGAGGTACTAAAATCTAATCTATTGAGCACTATAACGTGCAACAACTTGTCTCAAAGTGCTTCAGGAAAAAACTGAAACTTAAAAAGATAATAATAAATGCAAAATATTTTATTACGAACAGGTAAAGTAATACAATTACATATTTTATCCTCTAGCATATTAAAGTCTAACCAGAATAAAAATAAATGATTCTATAGGAGCATTTTGTACCTGTGAGATATGAGACAGTTTATTAAGATGCAGTGTTTGTCTTTTAGCTGTGCTTAGCTGCTGCTAGCTTATGTTAGCTGTTAGCTCCTGTCATCAATTAGCTGCTGTTAGCTAATATTAGTCACTGATAGGTTTGGTCTCTGCTTTGTTTCAGCTGCTGCTAGCTGATGTTAGCCATTAGCTGCTATTGTCTCTTAGCTGTTGTTATTTTTTAGACAATAAAACAGGAAAGACTATGTTACATTGGGATTTTGGCTGCATTAAAATACAGTCTATAAACACAGTATGTTGGTAACTGTTCCCTGAAATAGGTCAACGATTGTCAAAAAGTCATAGTTACAGTATGTGGGTTTTTACTACAGAGAAAAATAGATAAACCTTCCTGTGAAACTTTTTGCTGGTAAGAACATTTTTCACCAGAATAGCAACAGTTTAAAGTATTTTTTGTCTATCCTAAATAAATAAATTAAGATAAGACTAATGTATCTACTACAGTATCTCTATCACAAAGAATAAGAAACATTGGGATAATTTATCATTGGAATAAAAGATTAAATCTAGCATTCACACACTACCTTTTGCTCGGCCACCTGATTTAATAACAGAGTTTTAAAAAGGGACGATAAAATTCTTGAATGGAAATGCCATGCTGAACAGGATAATGACAGAGATAGAAATCCATTTATAGTGATATTCCACAAGAAAATACTACAGGGAACAGTGCTTTCAATGAATACTCAAAATAAGCAAAAATACTGGAATAGATTGCGTAAAATTCTTCATGATCAGATAAATCCATATTATAACCACTGCCTTCTATTTTTAAATAGGAAATTAAACGGCACATTAATACTCCTACAATTTAATTTAAACTGATATCAATCATAATATCTTATATATTTAATAATAAAATCACCAGAAATGATAGTTTTCTTGAGATTAATAAAATAATTTAGTTTGTTCAAATTCTGCAAAAAAGCAGCATAATGTTTTAAAACTTCTATATTCTTCAAACATTTTATATCATTATGTAATTATTTGCATTTTATTTTTACTCCCACAATTTGTGTGCTTTTGTCATGTTTTTACACTATTTTAATACCCAAGACAGCTAATGGTTTAATCTTTATTAGAGTAATGCTACCTATATGAATGTCTACAGACACTTGAAAGTTTGTTCCCTGTTGGATATAAATCAGTTTGCAACAGTGTGATTATTTTGTTATCATCTGTTGGTTCCTGTACATTGAAGAAGAGGAGGAGGAAATCATTTGGACGGTGCCGTACGCTGAGATTAAAGTATGAGAGGAAGGCTGTGTTGCCCTGTTTTCTGACCCTGCCTGCAGTCATGTTACTGCCACTTCTCTCCAGCAGGGAAATGAATCAGGTGCAGGTT